TAGCATCCTGTGCCAAACCAAAATATTGTTCGTGGCCTTCAGTCACATTCCATATGTTTTCAAGTACTTTAGGTGTGACTGTCCCTTTATAATATGTGTTGTTTTTGTGGAGGCGCACACACCCGCTCTCGGCAATTTTGGAGCCTGGGAACATTTCTCTGAATAAAGGTCTAACATGATCACTGCTACCAAGAGGAATGTTATTCTCCAAAATAAATCCTGTAAATAAAACTTCAGCTTTGATTATATTAGCACTCATTTTGCTTCAGCGGGGATGGAGGGGTAGCTGACAATGATTTTGACTGTGTCCCAGCCTTGGCACAGCTTGCTTGTTTATCCATAACAATGTGTCTTGAAATATCACTGTATCCTCCATAACCAACAGAAAAATCAGCTCCACATGACAAAAATCAAATGTCAGCCCTCGCCTAGACTTTTGTAGAAAATGATGCTCATGCTGTTCTCATCAAGAGCCCTTAAACTGACCATCTTTTCCGTGTTTTCCTTGGTGAAGCCTCAGTGACTTATCAGTCATCACTCCTGTCGAGCCTTATCCAGGGCTGGAGTAAGACATAGGCAACCTAGGCTTGTGCCTGGGGCCTAACTTAAGCTCCAGCTGGTCTGGTTCAGATGCTGATGTAGGAACCTCTGTATTTGGCACTGGTGTGACCACTGCTGGAGTACTGTGACCACAATTCAGGAAGGATGTTGCTAAATTGGCAAGAGCTCAAAGAAATCCATAAGAATGATTAAAGGATTAGAAAACATACCTTACAGTGATAGATTCAAGGAGTTCAGTCTATTCATCTTAACAAAGAGCAAGTTAAGGGGTGATGGTTTATAAGTACCTACATGGGGAACAACTAAATAATAGTGGGCTTTTCAATATAGCAAAACAAGGTCTAACACGATCCAATGGCTGGAAGTTGAAGCCAGACAAATTCATACAGTACATTTTTAATGGTGCGAGTATTTAACCATTGGAACAATTCAACGAGAGTTGTGGTGGATTCTCGATCACTGACAAGTTTGAAATCAAGATTAGATGTTTTTCTAAAAGATACACTCGTGGAATATTTGGGGAAAGTTCTATGGCCTGTGTTACAAAGGAGGTCAGACTAGATGATCACAGTGATCCCTTTCGGCCTTGGAATCTGTGAACTCCCTGTCATTCTGCAATATCCTTTTTTGAGATGGAGTGACCAGTGCTGTGCAAAGTACTGTAGATGAGGCTACACCCTCAATGTATATAAAGTCACTACAGTATTCTCCATCCCATTCCCTATGCAGCCTAGCATTTTGTTTGTTTGTTTTAAATCCAGCTGCACATTGGGCCAAGGTCATCACTGAGCTATCTACAGTGCTGTACAGGTCTCTTTCCTGAGTTGATATAGTTAATGTAGAACCCTGTACTCTGTATGGGTAGTTTCAGTTTTTCCCTCCAATATGCATTACTTTGCATTTAGCAATACTGACTTTTATTTGTCATCACACTGCCCTTTCACCTAGCTTCATTAGGTCTCTTGGAAGTTGGCTAACTTAAATAACTTTGTCACATCCAGCACATGCTCTCCTCACTCCTAATCTGGCTTCCTGGAATTTTAAATACTTTTAAGTCTTTGAACATTTTGTTTCATTCTCTAAGGATAAATCATCATCTAATCTTCTATTATTCATATATTTCTCTTTAACACTGGGCAAGTGATGATGGCTAGACAACACCGCAATGGATTTTGTCAACTGGAATGAAGGAGAGCCTTTTAATCAGTGGGGTGAGCTCGGTGTCCAAATGTATGCATCATTTGGGTACTGGAATAATGCTTAGTATTCTCACAATACAGGCTATATTTGGTTTAAAATCAAATTGGTTACTATATACTGGGTATATGATTAGGAATACCTGTAGTATATATGCTATGAAATGTATGCTGTACAGAGTATACTGTGAATGTACCTATGTATTATTGATACTGTGTGTGAAGACAGAGTATATTTGCCCATTATACTCTCTGTGTGTTTGTGTGTGTGTGTGTGTAAAAGTATACAAAATGTAGTACCTAAGACACTACATGTTCTGTTCTCAAACTAGGTCATCTAAGGCCATCTATTACCCATGTTAAACATAAAACATAAGACGAACAAATTGCAACCGTTACATGTCCCTTTAGGTTAAATAACTATCAGCTGCAATTATACAGAAGACTGGAAAAGTTTGGCTAACTTCCTTTTTTTTAAAATTTCTGTGCATCTTTACATTAACTGAAGTTACTAGGAAGCAGAGACACCACAGTACTGTGAGCAATGACATGCTTGTGGTAATTCTGACCTAATGGACACAAGAGATGAAAATCCTCCTGATTTCTTGCCCAACATCTCAACCAAAGAGGTTCAGGTACATAGGAGAAAGAGACATCCAAACATTTGAAGTTCACAAGATCTTAGCCTCATCTCTCCAGGGAGGGCAATGACAAGAGCAGCTCTTGCAAAAGGTTTCTGCTTTTCAGGCTTCAGTGGTGGCCACATCAAGACCCACCACATGAGTGCTCCATTCACTCATATCAGAACAGAAACAGTTTCTGACCATTATGCAACACTGAAGGCTTCATTTTAGTTTCTGAATAGGTGGAAACACTCTGACAGTGAGGAAATAGGTTTATCTCCTGTATATGTATGAAAGGAGAAGGAATCCCTCTGTTCACATTTGAAATCTGCATTCAGGCGGACAGCCATCCAGTTGTCTCCCACATGCTGGGGAGTGATGCTAATTTTTAAAAAATAGAGTGTAGTCATTGTCCAGGATAGGCAAACTGGGGGGGGGGGGGGGGGAGTAGAAACCAGTGAAAGTCATGCATTTGAGAATACCACTCTGAAGGTCTAATTGCTGTTGGCTTCAAATATTGGAGGACGTTTAAACTAAAATGCTATTTCTTGAAGAGGCAGAAGTATATAATGAGCTAGGATTGATATTTTGTATGAAATTAACATTTATATCTTGTGTCATCTTCTTGGATTGGAATTACTTTCAGACTTGACTGATGTTGCATGTGTTTTTAGTAATTTCCATTTACACTTGCCAGACAAACGTCAAAATATTTCTGTATCTAGAAAAATAATTGTCTGAATATTATATAATCTGATTAGTTAAAAATGAAGGGGAGGGGGTTCTCTTTGGTGTTTTGGCCCACTTTCACTGCCTATTAAGTTCACGTTTTTGTCACATTGTTCATCTTCATTGGTTTCAGTTCATAAATGCACCTACACTATGAACAAATGATTAATTCTGTCTTTGTTGCTGTATAGTTTTGTGTATGATGAAAATACTTACAAACTCAATATACATGTATTTTTTTCCTTTTGAAGGTTAATGAAGTGGAATCAACTGAGAAGCCGCCACAGGGGAAAGGTAGGGGTTATTTTATTTTAAATAAATTAAAGAGAAGCCTACCTAGAGTAAGTGTGATATGCATCCCTATTTGGAGGCCCAAAACACGAGCTATGCACCACCTAAGTCTTACTGAAGTCCTATTTTTGTGGCTGAGTTTCACCCTAGATGCACATACCTGAAGAATTAAGTGAGATTCAAGTGGAGTATAGGTCTCCCTTCAGGGTGACTTCCTTACGTGGGTAAATTTCATCCTTCAAACAAAATTATTTATTGTAATCTTTTGATATTAAAATTATAAAAATCCTACAACATCTTTATGCCTCATTTGTTTGTGAATGCAGGAAATTAGATTTCATTTTAAATTAAGCTTCATTTTATTTACATTTCAGATTTCCCCTTATATTTTGCCCTTATTTTAAAATGTTTCCATGGACTGGAAACATACAGGCATAATAAGCTGCTTTTATGATTAAGATTAGAGGTATTGCTTTCCATTGTCACTGTCACCATGCCTCCATGAGTCACAACTGAGAATACCAAATTCAGGACAAACTGCTGAGAAATAGGGCAGACACCCCAAAGCTGGTGATTATTCTTCCATGAGATATACCAAACCAGCAACAAAAGTAAACTTCTGTCTCACCACACTGGCTAACAAGAAGACAGAAATGCATCTTCCTTAGGTATTCCAGTCCTGGATTCAACACGCAGACACTAGATTTAAAGATGAGTAGTTATTTAAAACCAATTTCATCACACAAAAGGGTTCTTCTGATCCCAAAGGTCAATATACAACTCAGATCTTACCCAATAATCACACTGTTGCCAATCCTTTAGTATCTAAAATCTAGAGGTTTATTTATAAAAAGAAAGAAAGAAAGGTGAGAGTTAAAATTGGCTAAAGGAATCAAATACATACAAGAATTGAAAATCTCTTGGATCAGGCATAGCAATGATGGAATAAACTGCTGTCTTGTTAAGTCTCTGGTTGCTTCCAAATTATTGGAAGGTCCTCAGTGTCTTGGTTAGAATGCTCCCATTAGTATAAGTTCATAGTACAGAAGTCTGAGCAGGAAAGAGGCAAAATAGAGACAATTCCAGGGCCTTTTGTAGCTTCTGCCATGTGGAGGGAAATCCATTGTTTCAAACAAAGCCCTCAGCACAGCTAATGGAAAATTACAGGTAGCAAGATGGTGTTTGGATTCCCAAGGGCAAGTCACATGTCTATGCATGATTTCACTTAGTCACAGCAGAAGCCATTACCTATACTCCAGATCAGGGGTCCGCAACCTTTGGCACGTGGCCCATCAGGGTAATCTGCTGGCAGGCCGCAAGACATTTTGTTTACGTTGACCATCAGGCACGGCCCTCTGCAGCTCCCAGTGGCCGCAGTTCACCATTCCTGGCCAATGGGAGCTGCAGGAAGCAGAAGCCAGCATGTCCCTGCGGCCCGCACCACTTCCCGCAGCTCCCATTGGCCGGGAACAGCGAACCGTGGCCACTGGAAGCTGCAGAGGGCCGTGCCTGCGGACGGTCAACGTAAACAAAATGTCTTGCGGCCTGCCAGTAGATTACCCTGATGGGCCATGTGCCAAAGGTTGCCGACCCATGCTCCAGATGGAACCTTCACAGGAAAGTCCATTAAGTGTAGATAGGCATCCCCCATGGTCGATTGTGAGTTGTGTTTCTTGATGATCCACTTCATTTGAATAGTCCATTCAAGATGTGCAGACTAAATACCTTGTGGGTGCTACCCAGAAGCAAATATATTTGAAATACAGGTCTAGAGCCAATACTCATAAACTTCAAATACAAAAATGATACATGCATATTAACAGCATAATCATATTCAGCAAATCATAACTTTTCTGTTGACATCTTACTTGATACACTTTGTGTCAGATTTGTTGCAATTATGTAACAGTGGTAGCAACAATGAGCTACAAGGCCATATTTTAATCAGATAACATCACATTCCTAGAATCTCCCATATTCTTTAGTAACTGCTTTGCACTGATTTACAGGAGAGAAAAAGCATGGAGAGGCTCCTGAACCTACTCGTAGTATGATTTGGTTTGTAGATATTCTGGTCCTTTTCATTCTAGTAGGAGCTGGATTCAGTCTACTTCTTCTACAGAAAAAAAAGGACACAGCCAACTACAAACAGACGATAGATTCTCTGACACACTAGTAAAATATGGCTTTGCTGTTCCAGGAGGTAGAAATGCAAAGAATTCTGTGGCCAACACCGAGTGGAATGAACAGTCTGTCCTCTAGTGTGATAAAATAAGAATCGTTCCTGAGCTGGATAAAATTATACAACTACAATCCATGAAGCATTAACTCTAAATTGTATTTCATCAGTTAAAATAGTAGCTGGTTTTGTGCCTTCTGTACACATTTTTTAAAATTTCAGCATAAACAGTTATTCTTTTTACAGTCATACTTATGAGGGGATATTTTATGGAACATTACATTCAGGCTGTTAAGTAGAGCAAATAGATAAACAAGACTTAAAAACGAAAATGTAACCCAGTAATTCTCAAACTTTTTCATACTGTGGGACCATTTCTTAAAATGAATCAACTTCTCCTTGACTCCCTCCTCTCCCAAATCTTCCAACAGCAGCTATAATGCTTGGCTACATGAATAAGTAATATTAGCACAATATCGTGGAGAAAAAGTGTGGGGGGAGAGGGGGGGAGGGGAGCTTGCTTTAATGCAATGAGATTGGCTGCTTGCAATGCTTAATTTGTGCCAGGGCTTGCCAGATTAGAAATTAAGCACTGACTGCTTGGTTACATTTCCTTCACATATAGGTGTTGTTGCTGTCATCTCCCTGATTGTAGGAGTTAGCATTTATTATTTAATTTTGATTCATTGCCCGTAGCCCTATTGCTCTAAACTTTTCAGGTCATTGTAATGTGGTTCTGTATGCTAAGTCTCCAGTTTAATATTATTTACAAAGTTGATCATGGCTAAAAGCCCTCGAGAAATGTAAGTCCTGCCTTGGGCAACAACTAGCATCAAATCATCGCTGTATAAAGACAGACTCCTTCCTGTTGTGGTAGAAGTATCTTCTTAGATCACATAAGTGCTTCATGAGTCAGACTTTGAGAACAAGTGCTGTAAGGCAAAGCATTGTGGATAAACACTGGCTTATCCTCAGTTTTTATTAGAGCTGGTTATTCAGTACAAAAGCGACTTATGATGTTTTTGTGAAGTAGCATAAGCTGCACAAAGGAACTTTTGATTTGCTCTCAAACACGTTATGATGGTTATCCCACAGCACTGACTTTCTGAAGATGTTATGCACATTGCTTAAGTGTATTCCCTTTCAGGTGGGAGGGTGAATCATCAAAATATAGGGTTAACCATGGATTTTTCAAATGTAAGCTAATGGTATGTGATTTATTTTTCATTCAAAATACAACTCAAAGCTCTATAATGATATGCTAAATGGTATAATTTTGTATTTGGTATATTAAAACCCCCCTTTCCTGGAAATGTGCCATTAAGGCATAAATAACTTCTGCTAGATAAAACATTGTTCACTAAATCAACTTTCTTTATTTGCTCATTAGAAATAACCTTGTTTGGAAACCTAAGGGAGCAGACACTTATTTGATATTACCAATCAATCAAAACTATGGCACCAAAGTAAACCAAAACCGAGAAGGAGTATAAACTCATTCTGCACATCTATGTAACTTAAATGGCTTTGAGATAGTGCAACCAGCTGGCCTGGTTGTTCAAGGACCATAGTATAATATTTGGATCCCCTTAAAATAATTAACTGTGCTGCCAAAGATGAGGCAATGAAGAACATTAGAACATAATTACCCTAAAAAATGATGTGTGAACTGAAGAATAAAAATGAGCAGCAACATCCACTTGCAAATGCACAATATTGTTCCCTGCTAGTATAAAAGCCTTTTCAAATAGATATGTGTACAGATATTATGAGGGGTTCATTACAGCTATAACTAAAGTAACTAAACAGTAGTCTCCACAGATAGATTGGGCCATCTTAATACTGGATTTATACCAGTTTCCACCAACATAAATCCTGCTGCAAATACTCATCAGTGGAAAGGCCATCAGAGAGGAAATTGCAGTGGCATCAGTATGTCACAATGTATGTAACTGTAGATGATCTCACTATCCACATACATGGTCAGTTCCTTTATTAATCCTTCTAGGTTCTTGTTCCAATGATATCTTGTGGCAATGAGTTCTACAAGTTAATTTTTCTTTTTAAAAAAAAAGTAATCGTGCCTACCTTTTCTGAGCATGAATCCCCCTTGCTTACCCATGGAGGTATAATAAGGCTCTCTGCACCAGGTTTAATGAATATGGTCTCTTGACTTTATTTTCAGCAGGTCTTCCTCTTTGCCCTTGTTGTTTTGGAGGACATATGTGACATCTGTTCCTCTCCTTGCTTCCTGTTGTTCTGGCTGAGGGGAAATGTTAATTTAATTACTTTGTAGTGAAGCATGTAATAGTGGGATTTGAGAGGAAGAATGGTCTTGTGATTCATTCGCTCTGGAAATATGGGTCTAGTTCCCTGCTCTGTCACAGACATACTGTTTGACCTTGGGCAAATCATTCCTTCTCACTGTCCCTCAGTCTGAACAATGGGGATAATAATACTTCCCTTCTCTTCCTTGTTTATTTAGTTTGTAAGCTGCCTGGGACAGAGACTGTTTTGTACTATCTCTATGTACAGTTACCTAGAGCAACAGGACTTTGATCTCAGTTAGGAATGACTGTAATACAAATAAATAACAACTTGCCTATCGATGAAAAGAAACTTCACTACAAGTGCAAAGACAGTCACCTGAAATACACTGCAGTAAACGTATTTCTTTTCTACTTCAATATAAGTAGAGATTCCCTATACCTGGTTTGAAAATCTCATCACCTGCTGGCCAGTGGGAGAGCTCAAGAGTCCTGGACTAATACAGAGTATGCTCCAGAGCCATCCATAAATATGTACTTCCTATAAGATGCATGTCAATAGTATTAATTCATTTTAACTCACTGACAAACCTTAAAATATAACTAGGCTTGGAAGAATTAGATTTTTACTGGTAAACGTTGATTTCACTCTATGGGCACAAACCAATGACAAATATTTCAATTTATAATCATCTTAATTTACACACAGGCACAGTAAGAAAAATGCTGCTTGAGAACTTCTTAGAGTTTGATGTAAGGATATTTACTTTGTGAATTTTGACATGGGATGTAGACAATTTGTGTTTTAACGATGATAAAGCATTAACTTTTTCAGAGTAACAGCCGTGTTAGTCTGTATTCGCAAAAAGAAAAGGAGTACTTGTGGCACCTTAGAGACTAACCAATCTCCAGGTCTGCTGTCATTAAATAATTGTCTGACCCACCCACACCCTGCATAACTTCCTGCAACTGTGAACATTTAATAAAAATTGGAAGCAATGTTTAAACATAAGCATTGATATTATCTGTGGAAATTATAAAAAAAAATAAAAATCAAACTCTGCCGAGCGTAAGTAAAACATATTGGTAGGACTGACTAAACAGGCCAATGAAGTGAATAGCCTAGGGTGATGTTAAAGCGCTGAAATTATTTATGGGAGCACTTCAGGATTAATTTATTGAACAAGATGTGATTTGCATTGAAATACAACTTGTATTGTGTGGAGAATGAAATCCTTTCATATTACAATACACTCCCTATGGATCTAATTACAGCAGACATTCACACATCACACTGATAATGTGGAGGAAATCAGCAGTTCCACAGGGTTCTCTCTTCATTTGATGTAATTGCTGTGATTAGTAAGGGGGCTCAAGGCTCATTTGCGTAGTCCATCAAAATACATTATTCAGTATTTAAGGAACAAGAGTTCAATATCAATAGCAGTTTTCATCAGTAAGCTGCAAGCTACCAACGTTTTTTTTTTTGCTAAGATGTTGCATAGATCCTCTCCCACTTTGCCATATAAATAAAATTAAGCTCTTTGCTAGGTTGGTGGCACTTACAGGAATGTTTCGGTTGTCTAAGAGCACAGTTCTATAAAGAGTTTTAATATTCCTACATTGTGGAATCATTGATCTTTTGACAACCATTAAATTAAAAGCAGAGTGCAGCTGTAAATGGCATTTAGAAATGGCTAACCTGCTTTTGTTCTCACAACAGGTGTGTAGGTGGGAGAAGCCTTACTAGTTCACTTTTGCAAAAATGAGTTACAAAAAAAAATTCTTGAAGCAAAGAGGGTAGCTGCAGGAACTTGTCGTGCCCCCTATCTGGTTACATTATTTTACATAACTATCCTCTCTCACACTCACTAAAAATAGAAGTTCTGACCATCTTATACAAACCCTTTGGGCCAAAAGGGTGAGAAAGCAGAATTTAGCCTTTAACGCCTGAAACTGGATCTGAATTTCAAGGAACTCCTGGTTTTTGTCATGCTTCTTCAGTCACATGCTTCTATTTGTGAACATCTATTAGAATAGATGTCCAGCACTTTCCAAACCTTTTTCCATGATACCTGTCCGACACTGACTGTATTTTTCCAAGATAGAATATCCCACCTGCCTCACTCTCAACCCTGGTCCTTACTGTGGCCTTGCTATCTGGAGAGATCTCTAGCTAAGTGTGGATCAACAGAATTAGAATAATATCTCATTTATTCATAACTTTTCTATCTTAGATCAGATATGATAACAATTCTTTATAAGAAGCAGCAAACACAACGATCTGATGTACACAGTCAACATCACATGCTATACTAGAAAGTCTTTTTGATTCAGAACATCTCAGTTCTCTAACATCAAAGTATTTAGTACTTAAACATTTTAAATATAAAATGCTATGTACAATGGAACCGCAATTTACCCATTACCCAGAGGCTGGCAAGCAGGAAGGAACCCATTTAAGAAACTAAAAGAGTTTGAAAGGCTGGCAGGGTTAGCTATTACAAATAAAATAAAAGGCAACATCCATTGCAGTTCTGCCAAACCTAATTTAAGAACAATTGTGCTAAAGTACAATCAATTAGGCAACAACATTTCCTTCTCTAAAATAAATTATAAACGTGACCTGAAAGCTCTCTGCCACCCATAGCGCTATCCTACAGTAGCTACAGATTCACTAATTTATATGTATTTGCCATAGTGCCCACGGTCCCTATCAAATTGGGTTTAAAACACATGCAAGGGGTAGTTCCTGCCCTTTGTTATCAGTGGCACTTTCCAGTAGGCATTATGTTGGTAGTGGGCCTTGATGAGGGATTTGAAGGAAGAGACAGTAGTGGTTTTACAGTCTAGTTCACCGAGGACATTGTATGTGCACAGGGTGGGGTGGTAGACGGCACAAAGAAACTGTGGGGAGAAATGAGCGATTGAGTGGCAGAGGCTGGCATAAAAGTGGACAGGGAAGCTCAGTACAATATTAATTTGATCCACAAGTTACATTGCCACAACACTAGTGCAAAAGTCATTTAATAAGCAGTATGACTTCAATAGGAGTTGACTGTTCCTTTGAAAATCCCAGTCTCCATTGCCTATAACATTTATTATCCATTACTCTTTAACATACGGTAAATTTAGTCTTAGTAGCCTAACTTCTACAATGCAAATGTTAATATAATATATTACCAATATCTTTCTCCACATCTCCTTTCAACACCTCTGTGTTATAGTTTGTCAGATCTATACCTCTAAAAATACTGGCTTCTCTAAAAGAGTTAAAAAAAATCACCCTTTGTGAGTATACTCTTATCTGGACAAAACACATTCTCAATTTTAGTTTTTAAAATATGTTCAGAACATCTGAAATCACTGAGATTTCTATGGACAAATTTGACACCTTTTCCATGTTTACTCTCCATGTGAGCCATTCCCAATATTAAATTATGCAGGCTATTTACTTGTTATCTTGACATAGCATATAATCATAGAATCATGGAACTGGAAGGGACCTTGAGAAGTCATCTAGTCTAGTCCCCTGCACTCATGGCAGAACTAATTATCTAGACCATCCCTGACAGGTGTTTGTCTAACCTGCTCTTAAAAATCTCCAATGATGGAGATTTCACAACCTCCCTAAGCAATTTATTCCAGTGCTTAATCACCCTGATAGTTAGGAAGTTTCTCCTACTGTCCAACCTAAACCTCCCTTGCTGCAATTTAAGCCCATTGCTTCTTGTCCTATCCTCAGTGTTTAAGAAAAACAATTTTTCTTCCACCTCCTTGTAACAACCTTCTACATACTTGAAGACTGTTATCATGTCCCCTCTCAGTCTTCTCTTTTCCAGACTAAACAAACCCAATTTTTTCAATCTTCCCTCATAGGTCATGTTTCCTAGACCTTTAATCATTTTTGTTGCTCTTCTCTGGACTCTCTCCAATTTATCCACATCTTTCCTGAAATGTGGTGCCCAGAACTGGACACTATACTCCAGTTGAGGCCTAATCAGAGTAGAGTAGAGAGGAAGAATTACTTCTCGTGTCTTGCTTACAACACTCCCGCTAATACATCCCAGAATGATGCTTGCTTTTTTTTGCAACAGCGTTACACTGTTGACTCATATTTAGCTTGTGATCCACTATGACCCCCAGATCCCTTTCCAAAGTATTCACTCCTAGGCAGTCATTTCCCAATTTGTATGTGTGCAACTGATTGTTCCTTTCTAAGTGGAGTACTTTCCTAAATGGAGCATCATAGAGATGATGCTGTAGGAAAGCACTGAAGGTAGAGGAAGCACTTACAATTGTGAGTCCTTGTTTTCAGTTACTTATAAATTTCTGAAAAAAATCTCTTTGGGTTGAAATTTCCGTTTGTTCTGAGCACGCCAATGAATGTTTGTGGGTGTTTGGTATAAATCTGTTCACTCTTTTGTGATTTATCAAGCTTAAAATAAAATGTACGTCAATAAAAATGTCAGATATCTTTGCATTTGAATAACTAAAAATTAGGTCTGCTTTTAAAATATTAAAATGTCTAGCGAGCACACAAGTATTTGTGCATGCTCTTGTTTGCCATTACTTTATCTTATTGAAGTGGTTTGTTTGTATTTTGCTTTTCACTCAGGTTCAACTGCCCAGTTTCACTTTTGTTTGTAGTTGGTTTCACTTGCAGGTTCTCAGGAACTATCACAGTGCTGTTGTTAGCTGATCAGATACTATAGTGATAAGCACAATATAAGAACCAATATAGAATAGAATAGAATTGTCTTTGTGTAGGAGAGGGTTTGCATTTAAAAACATATGCTTTTCACTATTTATGGTAACATTTCTGTTCATATTAAGTTAAATCCAGCCTCCTTCTCCAAAGGTTTTGGGGACCCTACTCAGGGAGTATCGCTCACTCTGCATCCCCACACAGCAGGTTTGGGAGATAGGACAAGGATGAGCTTAGTAGCTCTGCCCCTATGAAGACCATTAGTCATTGACTTCTCTCTCACCCCTTTCTAGTGCAGGGACACAGGAGTGACTTGGGCTGCTGAAACTGGAAGATTGCAGTTTCAGCCACAGAGCAACGTAAGATGACAGGGAGGGTTTCCTTGGCCTTTTTTCCAGTTCACCATCTGCACCAAGCCCAGCTGTTCAAGTCTGGTGCAGGTGAGAGTTTTGATGCTCTCTGATTTTGTTTATTTTACCAAAGACTGTGTGTGGGGCCAATTCTCCATGGAGAGTGACCCTTTAAGAAAAAATGTGAGTTTCTACAGAGGTGCCAGAAAATATTTCTACTCTGATTTCACATTTGTGCCCAGAACAAAGATTTCAGTTAAAACAGAAATTCAGGTTTTCTTCAGATGTTCTAAAACTGCTTACGTATTTTAATAATGTAAAGAAACTGGTGTTCTCATGTGTATTATCTCCTATAAAGAATATTGTCAAGCAGATACCATATATCCTGCCATCTGCTGATGTTAATTAGGGAATGTTTACATAAAATGATAACTACCAAAATAATTAGCTAAATACACTCAATAATGTGATGCCTAAAACCTGCCAAGAAGAACATGTACTAATTCCTATCCACCTCCATTGTTACCTTAAGAACAGCTCTCTCCATAGCAACTGAAAACTTTTCAAGGCAGCAATAAACTAATCCTCTCCAGCTTCCAGAGCACCATCAAGGAATTTTAAAAACATCAGACTTTCCAGCAACTAAATACTTTTGGGGACTCAAAAGGCTACAAAGCTAGAGATACACAATCATTCATTTTTTTCTGCTGAAGGTAAGAACACGGTGTTAGAAATGGTTGTATCCCTATAACTGTGATGCTTTTAAATGCTAACTTATTTCTAAATGTTAACTTAAAGCTAAAATAAATTTTGAAACTTCAAAACCTTTCAGAGTGTGCTATACCATGCTAACTTTTATCTGAATGCATTCCAAGTTATAACTCAGCAAAAGTTTTTAGTTTACTCTACTTTAGCAATCTGTTAGCACAGCATTTTAAAAGGGGAAATCAGATCTGTATAATTTTACAGTGAAAAGAAGCAGATGTTGCATGTGGCTATTTAACATATGTACATATATTTCCAAAGGTCTGCTCCTCAGTAAAGGGAAAACTCCTTAGTGGAAAATAAAAGTTAAACTCCTTTACAACTGGCATGCTCCTATATCAAGATGGATTACAGTAAGGACAGATCCTACAGTACGTTAGGAAAGATTTGGCTAGGATAGTTTGGTTTTACTGTTTGGAACACTATCTTTGCATCTAGGATTATTAAAAATGAGAACTAGTTACTTTGGGGACATTTCTACATTTTTCAAGTTGTATGAATTACATAATTATGGCAATTTTGCAGCTCTTTCCTCTGACCATAAAGCATCATTAATTTCCTGTTAAAATGTTTTGGGTTTGTTTTCCCCCCCGCTTTATAGCTAATGTTAATTAATGAAGATGAAAACCACTGTAAGTCATTGCTTGGCATCAGTAGTACTGAACTTTTATATCAGAATTCCTGCACAATGCTTTATTTGCTCTTCATATACAAGTACAGCTACTAGCCCTTGGGAATCTGTTTCCTAATGGAGTAAAAGAGAAAGCAATTATATTTGTTCCTGTACTTACTAAAGGAGATTATGATCAAATATAGTAACATAACAGGGAAATGAAAAATGTGTATTATACTCAAAACTTTTAATGAGAAGGAAGGGCAGTCCGATTTAACCACTTATCAGTAATTCTATAGAATTTTTAAGGCCACTGTCATCTTTGTTTCCTGCTGTTTCAGGCTGTAAAGTCCCTACAAACTCCCTGTTGTTCAGAAACAGCTTGTCACTGCAAATCAGCTTAGCCAACCAATTAATAAATCCTTTCAAACATATTGCAGTCACTCTAATTAAATGGTTTTTGTTTTTCTTTACCATACAAATTCCTCAGGGTTCAACTTTAAGCTGTGAACTACGAACTACCGTTCAACTCTCAACAGGGACACGCACTTACAGGAAGAAGAGAAAATGTGTTTTCTGACCAAGCATCCAGCTTTTTGGATGGCATGTTCAGCTTTCATATTTGGTGTGGTCACTGCAGAAGCACAGCCTGGGAAAGAGCACAAGCAGGAAAGCAGCTATGCTCCCAGCCAAGGCTATCTGACGGAAGTTTTGCGCATTCTCTCAGCTGACAACTACACTGAGCTCCACAAGAATCACTCAAGAAAACTGATCAAAATGCTACTGGAGAGAGCTGAATGTCCACAGTGGATTTATGGGATGCAGGAGGATTGTAATCTGGTTAGTGTATCAATTAATGAAGGGTACATTTAAAAGATGAGTTCAGTGAGTTCTGAAATCATTTATTCGGGTGAAACCATCCTAATGCATGGGCACACACGACATTCATTTTTTCAAAAAAAAATGAACTGCTACAATTGTTTAATTGCTAATGATTTATATTGCTTATTTATTCTTGTAAAGAGGGCCCCCCAATACTTCAAGTACACCTTAAAAACTTAATCAATTTATCTTTCACTTATTGCCAGATATTTCAGATATTCATTTTCAGACTAAGGTTTTTCTCTTTACTTCATCCTACAGTTATATCATTAGCTTGAATTTGAAACATGAAAAGAAATTTCCATTGTAGTTAGAGATGGAGGGGCAGAAATAGGAATGGTTTTGTAAAACGTCATCATTCTGGTTGTTATTTTGCAAAACTCAGACATAGCCCGTGGTTTGTTCAGATCCATATGCCATTTCTCCCAAGTCTGCAAGGTTTAGGGGTGGTTTTGGAAAAATGGTTCTGGTCAAGGGAGATCAAGAGCAGATAAATGACTCTGCAAATCCAGAATCTGGGACTGGAAGAATTCCAGGGTATTCAAATGTTTAGAATCACAGCTCCATGCGGGGGCTCAATCCGCTAGTACATTCAGACTACTGACTGGGCTATTTCTTCCCACTGGTTTGACCATGGAAGGAAAAGGGGAATAGGATGCCAGATTCAGGTAGGAGGGAGACTATGCTGTGGTCGAGGGCCCAGATGGAAGGAAATGTAGATTTGGAAGATGCTCCAAGTTTGGATTGGGACCCCAGAAAAGTTGATGGATTTTGGCTCCAATTAATATTAATCCATCTTGTTCTAGGTCTGGTTTACTTCTAACAGCAGGGAATTATACAGACAGTCATGTGGCTTCATGTCAGAATCAAGAAGCAGCAGGTGGTAAAGGCTAATGATGGGGAAAGCAGACGTTTACTGTGAAAGTAAAATGCTCCCTGTACTCAACAGGACCAATGTATTGGAGAGGAGATTTCAGTCCTCTGTTGTAGAGCACCTACTCATTTAAATAGCCATAGTAACAAATGCTGACATTTTTCATAACTGCCACAGTGTGAATGATCATTGGTAAATAATGTAGGGCTCCATGCTTTCCTACAGGGGTTATTCCTGTACAGAGGAGCGGGAACTTCCTAGGAATTCTTCCATTATGGACCAAGGTTTTCCTTGTGTTTGTGACCTATTTATAGAAAGTGCAGGGATGATGGCAAAGGAGAGATTTTCTGAACCCTTTTCATGGTTTTTGCTGGGCTAGCCTGGGCAAATAGCAAGGTCCATGCAGTACAGTGGCTTTTTTATAAGATTGAAATCCTGCAAGATGAGCTAACAAGCACCCAAAATGGAGGAAAACTCATGACAGCAATTGTTCATGAAACATCTGCAGTCTTTAGAATCAGAAATTAGCCCTCCTCCTTGGCATTGGAGCTAACTTCCCAAACAGTGGGGGTAGGGAAGCCCCAGATCCCTCCTCCCCACCAACAAAACAAAAAAAAATGGATCAATCAGACTCACATGTCTCTTCTGAATCTTGGATCCCAGCCATCACAAACCATTGCTTTTTCAGACTATTTAATTTGCAAACAAGACTCCATCCTGCATTTAAATCATTGCCCTGAAGTTCTATATCTTTATTGGACCCTTTCTTTTTCTTTACTAATTGACCCTCCAAATCCACGGCAATGTGCTTGATGCTCCTTAAGCAGTATCTGGCATTACTCTATCTCCCAAGTGCACAAAAAAGGCATGCCTTCTTCTGTATTGATGAAATCCTTACTAATAATCATTACAAAACAGGAAGTTCAGTAAAAAAACACGCTGCTCCCATATTCGGAAAGGGACTTGTTTGTTTTAGAAAATAAGCATTCTGAAAGTAAGGTCATTCAAGTGTTTGTGACTCTAACATGTCGATAACAGCAAAATAACTTGTGATGAATCAATCTATATTCCCCTGACACCTTCTTTAAGTACTCCCAGTGGAGGATCCCATATGTTCTCCAATAACAGCAACTCTTTCAGTGCACCTGCTGCCCTCCCAGGAGCAATTTCCTTTTCAAATTTCTTGCTTGCCTGCGCCAACAACCTTAGTGACTTCAAGTTATCCTTACTAGACCTTGGGGTGTAATTATAGAAATCTCTGAAAAGCCTCCACCCCATACAGTATGTGTGTCTTATCGCCCACTGGGTAAATTTAAAAGGATAGACTGGCTTAACATGAGGCCTTTAGGGAAATGAGCTAGAAGAATTCAATGTATTCCTCCTAGTCTAAAACAATAATACACAAAGACAGTCATGTTAATACATGTCATCAGTACAGAAAAAGGTATGCTTTCTTTGTACACTTGGGAGATAGAGTAATGCCAGATGCTGCTTAAGGAGTATCAAGCACATGGCCATGGATGCTGAGGGTCAGTTAGTAAAGGCTAGTATTGTAGATGTTGATAGCCATGTTAGATAGGACACAGGGGCTAGATCCTAATCTAATTTACTCACCAGTGTGAATGTTTAATTTGGCATTGGCACCCACAGTGCATAACCTTTTCTAACATTCCTCTTGGTGTGGATTTAGGTTGGGAATATTTCTATTAAAATGTGTCAGCTCACTCACTTGCTTATAGTTGAGGGAGCATATGAAACCTGAACTCCATAATCTGCATTTGATTCAAGTTTTTGGGGGGTAAACATTCAAGATGCACTAGTACATAATGTCTGTAGCCATAAACATAGTTTAACCCAGTAAACGAGGTTTTCTGGCTGCTTTGAATCATTGGAATGGGGCAAAATAGCTGAAGTGTGTTGGTGAATCTTACCTAGTGACTATGATTTAGGTGCTTCTGTCTACCTTACAGTCATAGATACTGGAACTCGGGGTACTGCTGCACCTCCTGGCTTGAAGTGGTTTCCATTATTTTCAGGATTTAATGGCTCTCAGCACTCCTACTATGAAAATTGTTCCAGCACCCCTCTTTATAGTCCTTGTGATCTGCCATGATAGTGAAGATCAACTCAAGTGCTGAAGCTACTCTTGGATTTAAACAGGAGGGAGCTGTCAGCATCCTTCCAATGGGACCAACTGATATGACCTACAAATCACAACAGGGACAGGATGTTTTCAGGAAGGGGCTTTCTGTTCTGGAACTTGCTCACCCATTTACCCGAGTCTGAGAGCACTTGCTGGTTTTCTAGGCACACTCTAAAGCCTATCTGCTCATAAAGCCTTTTGCCTGAGGTGATATTGGAAGGGGTCTGAGTGTGAGGAGAGATGGTGCCTTATTGGCATTGAGCTATTTTGTTTTTAAAAATTATACCTGCCCTTGGGGGGGAATTCTCCCCTGAGTAGAGAGCAGCACAGACCCATGCATGACTTCTGTCTCTCTTGAGTCCCATTCTGACGACTTAATTGATGCATAGGCTTTGTGCTGACCAAATTTGCTGATAGCACAATTAATAAATATAAATAAATACAGCTCTAAAGATACAGGGCCCAATTCTGCTCCGTTAGCTTGTAAATGTGGAGTAACTCTAGTGTTTCCTTTGATTGGGATATGATCTAGATCAGTGGTTCTCAAAGCCAGTCCGCCGCTTGTTCAGGGAAAGCCCTTGGCGGGCCGGACTAGTTTGTTTACCTGCCGTGTCCTCAGGTTCGGCCGATCACGGCTCCCACTGGCCGCAGTTCACAGCTCCAGGCCAATGGGGGCTGCAGGAAGGGTGGTGAGCACGTCCCTTGGCCCGCACCGCTTCCCGCAACCCCCATTGGCCTGGAGCGGTGAACCGTGGCTAGTGGGAGCCGTGATCAGCCGAACCTGCGGTCATGGCAAGTAAACAAACCGGTCCGGCCCACCAGGGACTTTCCCTGAACAAGCAGCGGAGCGGCTTTGAGAACCATTGATCTAGATGACTTCTTGCGGCTCCTTCCAGCACTACATTTCTATGCTTTGTATGATTCTATCATTTACACTGGGATTTTTCAACCTATGGGTCATGACCCAAAGTTGGGTCGCCAGAATGTTTCAAAGGGTCATGTGGCAGCTCCTGTCGCTCTGGTTCCATGGGGCTTGCTAGGCTCAGTGCCCAGCTCCAGGCATTGTGACCTCTGGGGTTGCAGTGCCACTCAGGTTTATTCCTACTGCCCTTCCTGATGATAGGGGAACTGACCAGGGCCAATTTGATTGAGTGAAACAGGTCGCAACACTACTCAGACAGATTTGGCCCAGCTGGCTCCTCATCAGAGGCTGCAGTGCCACAGGATGAAACGTCTGGAGTGGGGAGCCAAGCTGAGCCCAGCCAGCCCCACAGGGCTTAGCCTCTTCCAGGCCTTCCCACTACCACCCCACACAGCCTATTTACTAGGTTGCAACAGGCCATCACCCACCTCCCCACAACCCTCTGGAGCAGGACCCAATCCCCACCCTTGGCCTATTTATTGGGTCGTGACAGGCCATCAATGTTTACAAATGGATCCTGACGCCAAAAAAGGTTGAGAACCACTGCCTCACACTGATATAACTCAGGTCCAAATTTGGCTTTTTCTGGCCTTCATTCTGCAAACCCACACAAGTGCAAGTGGAGGCCTGGCAGCAGTTAAGGTAAAGTTAAGCACGAGCTGTAGTCCTCTGCACTGAGGGACACAATTAATGCCTAGTGATGTCAATAGGGGTCTTTACATGGACTACAACAGTCTTTGGATCAGGCCCTGAGTGGGAGTAAGTCTCAAATCCTTTGGGCATCTGCCCCCTTGCTCACAAGCAGGCATGGTTTATGAAAGGCAGCACAGAGAGTGATTTGTCAGCCATGCAGCAGCCCTCATTACTGCAAGATTGGATTTCCATGTGCTCTCCCTGCTGTCCCTATTGCTCATCACATTTTATCTTATACACACCCCACTCTGCATCTGTGCAGCCTCAAGACCAGTCTCTTAGCCATAAAGTTGAATTCTCCTACTCTGTTCTCTAATCCTATTTTGAGTAGATTACTAGTGACATATAATTTGAAACTAATTTTCATTTGTTTTAATTATTCGCAGTGCCTTGAACCAGATGCTTTGTTATTAATAGCTGGTGGAGATTTTGAAGACCATCTCAGTGAAGAAGTATTCCAGAGAATTTCCCTCATTCTTCTCTACTATATTATTCATCAAAGAGACATCTGTTCTTCAGAGCTCAGTCTGAGTAACAAGGATTATAAATTTTACCTCCACAGCATGCTCAGTTTAAGGCGTGATGAAGACTGCTATTATTTCTCAAGGAATGAAACTGAAGACATTTTGGCTGCAATAAGGCAACATTTTAAAACTCCTGAAAGCCAGGTAAACAGCTCCAACACTCCAAAACACTTACCACAGATCTAAAGGCTAAAACCTAGTTCTGCCATGAAATTGCAGTCAAATAATGTGGTCCCTAGAGGACCATATCCGCTTGGGACAAATTAGAGCAGCCCCTTGGCTGATCTAGCTTGCACTGGAGCTGGGGATGGAGAATAGAATCAAGTTTCTGTAACCAGTTCCCTGCTGGTCCTTCACTGTACTACATCCATGAGATACTGGATGTAGCAGGGAATCTGCCCAAAGATGTGGCTGTTCCTTTGACATGCCAGATACATCCGAAGCTAATCTACCTGCCATAGTCAGTTCCTCCAGCAGAAAGAGTCATCCAAAGAAGACTAAACTTACATTTGGAGTGGCAAATAATGTATTCGTTATATTTAGCTGTAAACAGCCTTTTAAAATCAGGAAATACACAGCAGGTATAACTCACCTAGTATTTATTGCTATTTATTTATGTCAGTGCCTAGGGACCAACCAAGAATAGGGCTCCATTGTGCCAGGCGCTGTACAAACACAGAATGATAGACAGTCCCTGCCCCAAAAAGTTTGCAATCTAAATAATCTATTTTCCTTACAATGTAGAATAATCAAAACCACTTACCAGATTTTCAAGGTTAGAGAGTTGTCAAAATATATATTGACCTGCTGTGAAAACTTCATCAGCCCTTTGGATGCTACACAACTATGTCCTAGTCTGGTCCTGACTCTCTAATTCTTCTTTTCTTTTCCATCTCACTGCTCTTTAATTTACACCACACAGTGGTAGCACACTCAAGGCAAATGGAAGATTGCTAGAAGTCACTAACTATGCAGCATAAAACAGAAAGTCTGCCATTCCTCTTTCTCTTCATGTGCTTTGTATAATCTTTTCCCGTCATAAATTATTCATTGACTAGTACAGTTAGTTCTAAGTCTCACTGAAAGTGCAGATTTTCAGGAACTCAAAGAGTATCTCGGCAGCTATAAAGAGGCATCGGTGGGTATTTGGCATGTCAACACGGAGTAACAATCCATACAGCGCCTTTCGGTGCGGTCTATTTGTTTATGCTGGCAGTGCACTCAGTATGTCTGTTTAGTGTCTGTGATTTCATTGTTCACAGAGAGGAGACTGGGGAGACTCTTTGTCAAAGGTAGTGAAATCATTATAGCCTGTCTAATGCTTTGAATCATGACATCTGTGGCTAGGAGAAAGGGTAGGTGATCCAGGGGAAGAAAACCATTTTGGTCAGTTTTTAAATGTTATGATTGTATAAAACTTGTTTCCTTCTCACCATAGCAACTAATAAATTCAATTTGGTAGGAAAGAAAAGTCTTCAGCTTGTACGGAGATATATTGGCAGTGAATTTGACATTAGAAATACTTGCTTTTCTTCATGGTGCACAGTGGGGTCCTGGTTCAGGATTGGGGCTTCTAAGTGCTATGAAGATACAAATAAAGAATAATAATAATAATAATAATAATAATTAATAATTAATAAATGAATAATTAACCAGCTAGCCACTAGCCAAGGCAGGGGTCACATGTGGATGTGTCTATGGCAGCTGTCTATGTAAAATGGACAAGCCACTCAGAATGGGGCACTTATGAGGCAGCAACACATTTAAGGCAAAATGAAAATCTGGCCTTAAAGGTCTCTCATTCACAGCTGGACATGAAGACCTGAGGTTCATGCACAGAAATGCTCACACATTTGCAGAACTATGTTTGTGCACACCTCTACTGCAATGACACATGCAATTACTGGGATATTTTGATGGCTAAGTACACTTTTACTCATGCACCTGTGATAGGTACATGTGCTGCTGAACTAAATGGACATGGAGACATAGGCACACAAGTGGGCATCCACTCATTGGAAATCAATTTCTTAAAATTGATTTCACACTTTTTCTTCTTCGTATTACATTAACTTAGCAGCCCCAGGCCAAAATCAGGGCCTCACTGTGCAAGGCACTATACACATGTACTGTAAGAAACAGTCTCTGCCCCAAAGAGGCTGCAATGTAACTAGATAAGAGAGACACAATGTCAGAGAAAGTGAATGTTATCACCCCGTTCTATAGATGGGGAGCTGAAACACAAAGGTATTAGGGGAATTGCCCAAGGCTATACCTGAAAGCTGTGGGAGAGCTGGGAATTAAATCTAGATCTACAGTGTTGCAGTCCAGTGCCTTAACCACAACATCCACTTCTCTTCTGCCACTTTTGGGGATTGTACTGGCCACACTCTAGGCAGCAAAAATCTTGGAGAAAAAGATTAAGCAGAAATGGCATGAAAACAACAATAAATAAAAATAACTTGAAGTAGCTAATTGAATGTGGTGTTTTTAACTGCTGCCTCAAGTTTTTCTCTCCTTCCCAAACTGGCTTCCTCCCCATTACGTGACTGAAACGGATCTCATGTTGGTCTCTAACCACCGGTTCATAGCATAATCTCAGGTCCTGTATTCCATTCTCATTCTCCTTGAGTCTCTTCTACTTTTCACACTGTTGATTATACACTCTGTCCTAACAACCTATCCGCCCTGGGCTTCTGCAATACTGTGTTCTCTTGCTTCTTTTCCTGCCTATCTGATGATTGACAGAACAAGGAGTAATGAGCTAAAGTTGCAGTGGGGGAGGTTTAGGTTGGATATTAGGAAAAACTTTTTCACTAGGATGGTGGTGAAGCACTGGAATGGGTTACCTAGGGAGGTGGTGGAATCTCCTTCCTTAGAGGTTTTTAAGGTCAGGCTTGACAAAGCCCTGGCTGGGATGATTTAGTTGGGGATTGGTCCTGCTTTGAGCAGGAGGTTGGACTAGATGACCTCCTGAGGTCCCTTCCAACCCTGATATTCTATGATTTACACTCGTGACCAAGAACCGCTTAACTGAATTTTTATTCTGTCTGCAGTGTGTTGATGTAAGCGTTCTGGAGAAAGAAGCTGCCATATTGGACAGTGACGGTGCTGATGAAAATACACTTCCTCGCCTGGCTGCTACAATCATTACTCTGGCTCTCCAAGGAGTCTGCCTCGGGAGAGCAAGTTTACCCACCCCAGAATTCTTTATAAAATATATTTTCAGTTCTCTAAACAGCACTAATGAACTCCAAGTAACAGGTAGGGCTGTATATTTCAGGTTTGCCTTTTGTGTCAGTACATTTTAGGTACTTCTTAAATCAGGGTTTAAATCACTGTTTCACCTTTTGTATTTGATAGGTAGAACTCTTATAAATGTAAGAAGAAGGCTGGGAGACAAGCTCCTTCTTTATTTTCAAAATCATTTTGGGCCTTATAAAATAAATAATAATAATCAGATATAAGGTGACCTTAAAAAGAAAAGGAGTACTCATGGCACCTTAGAGACTAACAAATTTATTTGAGCAAAAGAGGGAGAGGCTGAGGGAGCTGGGATTGTTTAGCCTGCAGAAGAGAAGAATGAGGGGGGATTTGATAGCTGCTTTCAACTACCTGAAAGGGGGTTCCAAAGAGGATGGCTCTAGACTGTTCTCAATGGTAGCAGATGACAGAACGAGGAGTAATGGTCTCAAGCTGCAGTGGGGGAGGTTTAGATTGGATATTAGGAAAAACTTTTTCACTAAGAGGGTGGTGAAACACTGGAATGCGTTACCTAGGGAGGTGGTAGAATCTCCTTCCTTAGAGGTTTTTAAGGTCAGGCTTGACAAAGCCCTGGCTGGGATGATTTAACTGGGAATTGGTCCTGCTTTGAGCAAGGGGTTGGACTAGATGACCTTCTGGGGTCCCTTCCAACCCTTATATTCTATGATTCTATGATTCTATGAAAAGCTTTCGTGAGCTACAGCTCACTTCATAGCTCACGAAAGCTTATGCTTAAATAAATTTGTTAGTCTCTAAGGTGCCACAAGTACTCCTTTTCTTTTTGCAGATACAGACTAACATGGCTGCTACTCAGAAAGGTGACCTCAGTTTGCCTAGGGCAGCCATTTCTGGAGATTGTATCAGGTAGATGTAGATTGGGACACAGTGGGCTTCTCAAGGCAGATGAAGTTTGTTCACCCTGTCTTGACTGGATGTTTTCTGATCTTTACTCATAGCTCCTTTATGTATTATTTTTCCCTACCCACTTTCTGACATCACCAACCTCCAGTGAGAATGGGACACGTAAAGTCCATTTGGTACAGAAATTCCACTTCAGTTCTAAAAGATCTTTTGCCAGATGCAACTAAACTTAACTACAAATAAGTAGGCCCAAGATTTTTTTAACAGGGCCTAAAATGAAGTAATCTAAACAAGTAGCCTCGTTTTCAACAGTGTTGAGCATCCATCTCCCATTATCTTCACTGGGGAGCTGCAGGATGCTCAGCACCTTTGAAAATCAAACCATTAATTTAAGTGCCTACCAGGCCTTTAAGAACGTAACTTTAGGCACCTACTTTTCCTTGTCTGTGGTTCATTGACTAATGGTAGCTCTTTACAAGGATCTGAAAGTCCTTGAAAACATTAATTAATCTGTGTGATGCACCAGTGAGCTAAGTAAGTATTAATATCCCTATGATGTGTCTATTGAGTCACGAGGGGCGAAATGATCCCAGCTACGGTAACACAAAAAACAAGCTGCGTGCATAAAAGAATTCAAGCATCTTAACTCTCAGGCCTGTTCTCTAATTCGTAGATCACACTCACTCCCATTAACCATGGTTATGTAACAAACACTTTCTCTTAAAAAATGTCAGTGTAGAACTCATAAAATAATTGGTTCATGACAATGAACAGAGCCAGTTAGAATGCAGAGAGGCACTGCACTATTTAAGTAGCTATCAAGAGTGAAATCCAGATCAGGGCCACTGAAGTCAATGGCAAAACTCCCGTTGACTTCAATGGAGTCAAAATTTCACCCACAGAATCCAGAGGATATTTTTAACCAGACTGGAACAGTGCCAGCATATTTTAAACATAAACTCATTGGCATTCCTCTTTTAAATGTATTTACATTTCAAATATAAACTGGAAAAAAGGGCTAGAATTGGCAGCATATAGGGAAAAATGAAAATAAAGCTGATTACAGTGACAACTTTTAGACAGAAGCTTTAGCTGACTTCAAAAGTATTTTTGCTCAAGAGATGGGAAGTAAATAGAAATCTTGGCATACATTTTTCTTTAAGAAAAAGGTCAACATTTCTTTTTTCAAGCACTGATGGGGATAATTGTTGTAAATAACAATGAAAGTGAGAAAACAAAGTATTGCCATCATGTAGAAACATTCTTAACACCTATTTGGTAGCTAAATACCCTATCTGAAATTAATTGGTGGGCTCAGCCCAGTTCTTAATGGACAAGTCTCCATTTCACAAAAATCACCACAATAACCCCAATACTGCAAGTTATTCCATGTAGGCCCATGGCATCCATCCACATAAATAACTTGCAGGATCGTGGCCACTTTTTATCAGTACCTTGCTGATGATTTCGGCAAAGCTATGAAAGATTACATGGCCACAAAGGGTGAACTGCCTTCCTATCTCCTAGAGGTGTCAAGACGAAAACATTAATGTGGCAGTGTGGAGAAGTAACTGTTTTCTGTATAGATGACTTCATACCCTAGAGCTGTCAAGATGGGATCTTCACATTTACTAGAGAAAAAGGTTATTAAAAAAGTATTGTTAAATAAATCCTCAGTGCTGATTTTCAATCAATATTACAGCACTGGGGAAGTCCAGAAGACTGGAAGAAAGCTAATGTTGTGCCAATTTTTTTTTAAGTGTAAATGGAATGACCCAAGTAATTATAGGGCTGTCAGCAAGACCCGGGGAAGATAATGGAGCGGCTAATATGGGACTCGATAAAAAATTAAAGGAGTGTGATGTAATTAATGCATATTAGCATAGGTTTATGAAAAATAGATCCTGTCAAACTAACTTGATATCTTTTTTGATGAGATTACAAGTTTGGTTGATAAAATACTAAGAGTTCTGTAAGGTGTTTTGAGTTAGTACCAAAAACATTTTTTATTAAAAAATTAATTTACACGAGGCAATATTTTAATTGGACCAACTTCTGTTGGTCAGAGACAAACTTTCAAGCTTATACAGAGCTCTTCTTCAGGGCTGGGAACCATATGCAGAGTGTCACAGCTAAATACAAGGTGGAACAGATTGTTTAGCATAACGTATTTCAAGGGACCGTTCAAGGTGAAGTTGCCCTTTAACACCCCTCCAGCCATAGGGTGGAAAGAAAGGGAGGGGGAAAAAGGCAGCTCAGGGGAGGGGGGCTACAAAAATAAACGAGCCTCTCCAAGCTCATCATGAGAAGCAAGCTCCCCAAAGACCGGGAGATACCAACTTAAAGCTGCACCCGACCCTGCCAGAATTATAGATGCAAAATCTGTAGACATATTTCCACTGCCATGATGATCAACACCCCCAGCAACACACTTTCAAGATCCATGGCTCCTACACACGTCTATCATCTAGTGCACTAAATGCCCCAATAACAACTATTTGGTCAAACCAGACAATCATTATGCTTTTGAATGAACTCACACAGGAAAATGATAAAAGACAAAAACTCTGTCTCACCTATGGGTGAACACTTTTCACAAAACATTCACTCTATATCTGACCTCTCAGTCCTCCCTCTCGAAGGAAATCTGCATAAACCTTCAAATGATGAGCCTGGGATTGTCAATTCACAACTTTGCTAGCCACTAAAAATCATGGAGTAAATAGAGTCACTGGATTTATGGCTTATTACAACAGTCTATAACCCACTAACAGCCCCTCTGCCCTGCCTCCCAAGCTGCCTCCCACTTTCCTCCTTCTTGACAGACCTTCACTTTGAATGGTCCCTTAAAATACGTGGTAACTGCTTACACTAAACAATCTGTTCCACCTTATGTTAGGTGCAACACTCTGAGTACTTTTCCCAAATCTGAAGAACAGCTCCGTGTAAGCTTGACAGCTTGTCCCTCTCACCAACAGAAGTTGGTCCAATCAGAGATATTCCCTCACTTACCTTGTCTTTCTAATATCCTGGGACCAACATGATTGCAACAATAATGCATGCAAAAAATTAACATGGCACACAACAAATGGATTAAAAACTGGCTAACTGACAGATCTCAAAATGTAATTGTAAATGAGGAATCATCATCAAGCAGGTGTGTTTCCAATGGGGGCCCAGAGGGACTGATTCTTGGCACTACACTATTTAACATTTTTATCAATGACCTGGAAGAAACCACAAAATTGTCACTGACAAAGACTGCAAATGACACAAAAATTGAGATAGTGGTAAAAGTCACTTGTTCAGAGCAATCTGGGTACAAGCAAACAATATGTGTTTTAATATGGCTAAATAAATGTATATATCTGGGATCAAAGAATGTATGCCCTACTTACAGAATGGTGGACTCTATCACAGAAGCAGTGACTCTGAAAAAGATTTGAGCTGAATACAAACTCCCAATGTGATGCTGTGGCCAAAGGGGCTAATGCAACCCTGGTATATATAAACAGGGGAATCTTGAATAGGAGCAGAGATATTATATTATCTCTGTAATTGGCACTGGTGCGACCACTACTGGAAAACTGTGTCCAGTTCTGGTACCACAATTCAAGAAGGACGTTGATCAACTGAAGAGGATTCAGAGAAGAGCTACAAGAATAATTAAAGGGTTGAAAAATATGCCTCACAGTGATAGACTCAAAGAGTTCAATCTATTTAGTTTAACAAAGAGAAGGTTAAGGGGTGACTTGATTGCAGTCTAAAAGTAGCTACATTGGGAACAAATATTTGATAATGGGCTCTTCAGTCTGGCATAGGAAAGTACAATTGGAACAATTCAGCAAGCGTTGTGTTAGACTCTCCATCACTGACAATTTTGAAATAAGATTGCGTGTTTTTCTGAAAGATACACTCTAGGAATTTTGGAGGAAAGTTCTATGGCCTGTGTTATTCAGAAGCTCCAACTAGATGATCACAATGGTCCCTTCTGGCCTTGGAATCTATGAATATGCTATATTTTGACATTTTGAACAATTGTTGTTTCATCTTTCTCTTTAATTTGTATTTATAATGAGGTAACACCACATTTTCTAATAAATTCCTAGAAATAGACCAACTCCTAAGAATGCTGAGGGATGGAAGGACCTGCAACGCAAATGGACAAATGTACAGTCACAAAGAAAGATGTCATGGCATGACACTCAGAGATGTTGGATATTTAAATATTCCACTCACATCGAGACAAAAGAATGGGGAATATATAAGTGGTTATCATGAAGATAATGAAAACACTGCTGATTCGGATCAGGTTAATTTTTTTTTTTTACTCTCTTGAGTGGATAAAAGATGTACAACTGGCTTTCATTTAGTGTTCATTTTATGATATGAAGATGACACAATTGCCTTCTGATTCAGTGCCATCCTGACAGTTGTTTAGCTGAGTGATTTTATTTTTTTATTTTGAATTCATAGCCCATCAGTATAATTATTTTCGTTCTGGTGGACTTCAAAAGAGAGTAATGCCGATCAGCCAAGTAGATGTTTAAAGCAAATGTGGCCCCAAAATAACTTTTAAATGAAGGTCATAGGCCAGTAGTGATGCCAGGAGTACAAGGAATATAATTCCCCTGGGCAGAAGGCCAATTTACAAAACTGAGCGCTTTTTAGAACTTTTTTGAACTTGAACTTCCAAGACTGTCCTTGAATCAAAGGCTATGCATGCAGGGGAGTTATTCCAGGCATGGCAGTCAAGCTGAGAGCCAAAGTATTTTTGTGTAGCCTTTGAAAGGTATAAAGATACATTTGGAGAGAAGAGATTTGCCATCCTTTTCTGATATCTAGCTTCTATTTTTCATTCCATTTCTCTTCTTACTAACTATTTACATTTTCCTTGACAGATCGTTCCTTTAGAAGAATTTGTATTTAAATGTTATTGCTAATTTTATCTTCTGTTTTCCACATGTCCCTAAGATAGCCATTGTGTTCCATTAGTAACAGATGCTGTTACATGTGAGAAATGGACTGGTTTCTTGCTTGCTTCTGCCAGTTCAATTAAGGGCTGTAATTTAGTTTTTTCAGATATTAGCTTCATATTTTGATATATAATGCCAGAAAAGTAGGCAGTCTTTTTAAAAATCATCTTTGTCTTCAATGATTTTTAAAGTGCATATAAAACTTAAGTAAATAGTAAACTGAACTAATAAGAGCTATAACATTTAGTCACATAAAACTATATAACTCATATCTATATGTTAATGTATGATTTCTGATGAGGTTCAATAAGGATAAGTGCAGGGTCCTGCACTTAGGACGGAAGAACCCAATGCACAGCTACAGACTAGGGACGAATGGCTAGGCAGCAGTTCTGCGGAAAAGGACCTAGGGGTGACAGTGGACGAGAAGCTGGATATGAGTCAGCAGTGTGCCCTTGTTGCCAAGAAGGCCAATGGCATTTTGGGATGTATAAGTAGGGGCATAGCGAGCAGATCGAGGGACGTGATCGTTCCCCTCTATTCGACATTGGTGAGGCCTCATCTGGAGTACTGTGTCCAGTTTTGGGCCCCACACTTCAAGAAGGATGTGGATAAATTGGAGAGAGTCCAGCGAAGGGCAACAAAAATGATTAGGGGTCTGGAACACATGAGTTATGAGGAGAGGCTGAGGGAGCTGGGACTGTTTAGCCTACAGAAGAGAAGAATGAGGGGGGATTTGATAGCTGCTTTCAACTACCTGAAAGGGGGTTCCAAAGAGGATGGCTCTAGACTGTTCTCAATGGTATCAGATGACAGAACGAGGAGTAATGGTCTCAAGCTGCAGTGGGGGAGGTTTAGATTGGATATTAGGAAAAACTTTTTCACTAAGAGGGTGGTGAAACACTGGAATGCGTTACCTAGGGAGGTGGTAGAATCTCCTTCCTTAGAGGTTTTTAAGGTCAGGCTTGACAAAGCCCTGGCTGGGATGATTTAACTGGGAATTGGTCCTGCTTCGAGCAGGGGGTTGGACTAGATGACCTTCTGGGGTCCCTTCCAACCCTTATATTCTATGATTCTATGATTCTATGATTCTCATTAAAGAAATCTGTGTGCGGGGAAAGGAAAGTCATGCATCTATCTGGTGTTTCATAAGAGAAAATGTAAGCTCTATTTATACTTTTCTGTATTATTCCCCTCAAAGACAATATAGATTTCTTTCATTAATAACAAAGGCCCTTATCTTTTCCTCCTCATGTTAAAAGGCACCCAGGGGCCAGGGTTTATGGTAGAAGATGCAAAGTAGTCACCTACATTCATTTGGAAGGGATATAAACCCTTGTGCTTCAGGGCATAAGCCAACTTCTAATCAATGGGAGTTAATAACAGATTTCCCCATAGACAGGTTACGCCGGAACAGCCTGCTGCAAGGTTTCTTGTACCTTCCTCTGAAGCAGCTGGTGCTGGCCACTGTCAGAGTCACAGAACTAAACTAGATAGACCTCTGTTCACAATAGGGTAGTTCCTGTATTCTCCTGCTGGCAGGGCCACCTGTGCTCCTAGAAGACAAGGGTCCACAGGACTCATTGGTGGACTGATAGTCCTTTATTCACTCAAACTGTCACTAAAGTCCAAAGAGAGTTTTGCCTTGGTAAGGGATGAGCAAGGACAGAAGGGTTTCTTCCATTATTGATATTACTGAAGAATATCTAAAACCTTCTTTCATTTACATGGTAATTTCTTCCTAAAAGAAGCCAAATAGTTTTATAAGTTTAACTTATAAATTTTAATTAATAAAACTTATGTATAGGGATCATTTCACCATTAGTGATATGCAGCCACCTTTGGGGTGAAAAGCATAAGCATTTAACAGTGCACAGCAATGGGGACAAGAAATGAAGAGTACCTTTACCCTCTTCAATTCAGGGTGTATGTATGTAGTTAGAATACAACTCCTTGAGCTGGAATGTTGCCAAGATACTGGAATTAGCAACAATGTTCTTATGAAAAGTATCATGGGAACTTTAATAAGTACAAATGATCAGGACCTCCATTTAATGTCTCATCTGGTCAATGGTGCTGTTCCCCTAACATTATACTAGGGGACTGGTTCAGTTCTTCTGCAAAATAAAGAGTGACATCAACTAAGTAACATTTCTGCAGCATCTAATTCCCTCCCTGCCACATACACACACAAAGTACTGACTCAGACAGCAGTATGGAAATCCATGTTGTACCTGAATTGATCCTTATTACTGTCATGTAATGAATGAGTATTAGAATGCAAAATCTTTAGTCACTGTATTAAACCATACCCCTAAAAATAAATCTTAATACCAAAACTAGATTATCTCACCAATACTCGATGGAGATAAAAACAACAGGGCGTTTTCTAAAAGTAGGAGTAAACTCTATGCAATGCTTAATATACCTATGTTATGGTTCAACTAGTAAAACTTTATAACTTTAATTAGCTCTCTGTGTTATGAAGGGCACAGATATGCAGCACAAATACAGACTTCATTGCAATACTACCGCAAACTCTGACTGTTAACTTCCTAACTTTGTCCCAAACACACAAGTAGAAAGCCATGATGTAATGGATGTGGTTTAATTAGGTTGCAATTTTATTCATGTAACCTATCTGAAAGTACCCAGCTATAAATCATACAGTGGGCAGGTCTTCATTCCTGCCTCACTTGTTTCTACCTATCTGGGAGAGCTGCCATCAGCTCTCTCCCTTCCCAATTTGTTTCAGACTGTTGCTGCGATCCTGCTGCCCTTCCCTCATTTGAGGGTAAAGGAAGGCTGGGGAAAAAGGGATGGGCTATCTCCCTACTGTACCAGATGTTAGGAGCCCAGGCCCTTTTTCCAGGTTCTAAGTAAGGCTTTATAACTTCCATTAGCCCTGTATGTTAAGAAGGACACACACACACAGCACAAATATAGACCTCACTGCAAATATCTGGCCTGCTAACTTCCTAACTTCTACTGACTCTTAAAGAGTCAGCACGTGCCCTCTTTGAATACTCAATAGCAGTGAATGCCAGATGCTGTTAATAGTTTTAGCACTAAAAAGTCTTGATTGAGAAATATGCTATACACATATTTAGATATGATAATGGACCAGACCCTCAGGTGATGTAAACTGGCTTCAGTGGAAACTACACTGACTCACAGCAGCTGAGGATCTGGCCCATTGAAATGTGGAAGTGAAGATGATGTATAAGGTTTTCATCAATAAACAAAAACTTCATTATCTTTCATTTTAAAAGATTTCACCAAGGCAGCACAAATGGAAAATGTGACTTTTCTTTGGGATCCACTTTTCATTTTCTTTAAAGTTCATGATTCCATGTCATTTAAAAAGTCCTGCAAATCCGCATTTAACCTGAGCATCAGACTCCATTAATCGTATCTATATTTAGTAACCACATATTCTTTCCCACATAGGCTTGCTTCTCTGCCAGTGAGCTTGTGAAGATATTTTTACAAAACAGTCCTTCGTCCATTTCTAAGGAGCATTTCAAGCAAATCAGCCCGGCGATCATTCAGCAACTACTGAGCTGTTCTTGTCAGCTTACAGAATCCAAGCAAACAAAGCTGCCACCAACAACTCTGGAAAGTGAGTTATGTTGTCATTGTACAGTATTGCATTGTGCTAATTCAGGTGAAGGGTTGCAGGAGTTTAGCTTTCTGGAGCCTTTGTATTCATTAGTAACTAAAAAACAAAACACCCAGAAGTTTATACACTAAAGAATTTCACAGTGTGCATGCTGCACAGTACTATACAATGAGAAGTTCTGGGATGCAGCTCCCAGTAACTATTTCTGTCTCTTATCAAAAGAACTCTCATTTGGGCCGATTTTTCTTCCTCCTTAGATGCTTGTCAAAGATACAGACAGTAGGCATAATGGCTATGGTGCCATGGGAGGCCCTCCCAGTAGTAGAGACGGGGGCCTACTTTGCCCCTCTGTTTCTCCAGTTTTACACTGGTATAACTTTATTGGTTTCAGCTGGTATGCTGAGGCATAAAACTGGAGTAATGCAATGATGAATCAGGCCTTGGTGCTGTAACATCTGTCATTTTACACCATGATGTACTGAATTAGTTGTGTTAAGATGCTCTCCAGAAAGTAAATGTGTATGAAAGGTGCCGATTTTCACTCTGTGAAATTTTCACAGCAAAAGTAAAGGTTTTTGTGAGATGTTGTTGTGAAAATAAAAAATAGCAGCTTTTCAGGCTCATCTACTGTCCTGTGCCCAGCAAAAATGAGCACCAGGCTTTGTACACCTTAGCCTGTAGAAAGAAATCAGTTATAAAAATTTCTCAGGGCACATATCAATCCACTCAGTTCCTATGTCTATTGTATTGTGCCTTACTCATCTGGTAAGCTCCACTGGGGGCTAATAAATGTTCCCCATGCATCCTTCCAGCCAGTCATCTGTCTGGGATAGACTGAACTACAATTTTTAGTCAAGATGGTCAAGGATGTAAACCCATCCTGTGGGTGTCCCTAAAGCTCTCATTGCCAGAAACTGGGGCTGGATGATAGGGGATAGTTCACTCGATAATGGTCCTATTCTGTTCATTCCCTCGAAACATCTGGCACTGGCTGCTGTCGGAAGACAGTATACCAGGCTAGATGGACCACTGGTCTGACCCACTATGGCCATCCTTAGGTTCTTAAACTGGATTAATTAGGCTGCTGATGGGAATGGACTGAACCACAGTTCCACATTGTACATTTGTACTGTCAGTGTGCATTGATTAAACAACATGGTAGCTCATTGGCTGGAAGGAGGTTTGTGGACATCCCACTACTACTCAAAGGAGACAGGAACCTACAAAGTAGCAAGAGGTACTGAGACTCCCCAAAAAGAGTTATTTATTTTCTTCAAGCCCCTGTTACTGTAGTGTCTCACACTCTTTCAAATATTCATCCTCAAAACATCTCCATGAGGTAGTGAAGTACTACCATCCACATTTTGCAGCTGGGATACTAAAGCACAGAGTGGCTACCTGACTTGCTATGGCCACACAGGAAGTCTTTCGCACAGCTGGGAATTGAACAAGAGTCTTTTACAACTTAGGAGAGCATCCGAACCACCAGACCATCCTTCCTCCTCTAATGGAGATCTCTTTGGAATGAAAGAGACCATGTGTGAGAGATGAAGGCCTTTATGACCACATAGGTCTCTTTGCATGATTAAGGCCTACATTTGGGGAGTCTCCCAAAAGAGAAGACAGGCAAATGACCTGATGTAAGATAAAAGTAGCCTAATGACCTGAACCTAGGACTGGGAGTTTCATTCCCAGATTTTTCTGTTAGTTGCTGGTTGGTCTTGGGTAAGTCATTGAGGCCTAAGTTTTCAAAAGTGTCTGCTAATGTAGTGTTTGGGTGTGTAACTGGCGTTACATAGGATCTGAGGTACTGAGCACTCACAGCTCCTGATGCGTGAAAAAAAAACATGATGCACCAAAAATTAGTGGACACCTTTGAATAGTTTGTCTTTAATTTCTTTGCGTCTGTTCCCCATCTTGTGACTTACCTACCTCAGAAGGGTGAAAGGTGTGGTATGAATTAGTTAGTTCATTTTGTACAGCAGCTTGAAAATGTAAGCACAAACATGTGAGTAACCTCCCAATCACTCTGTTGAATTCGGAAAAAGAGGCTATCACTCCTGATTGTATCCCTAAAGGAAGTGTGTCCATACTACACAACAAATATAATTTGGAACAGTAGGCATGGTGCGTTTACAGGAGGCCTATGACCTGTCTACTAAGAGAATATTTATCTCTTTAAGGCATGAAATCCAGTGGATTGGGCTTTTTTACCTTCAGGACCTTGGTCAATTAATGTTTTGCAGACCTTGAACCCCCTCTTCCCTCTGTTATGCTGCCTGTCCCTTATATATAGCAAGAAAATGTGGTACAACTCAAGAATTTCCCTCCTGTTTATTCACACAGCTCAGAATAGAGGGCCTCAAGTAATTAGACACTGAATTGTTAAAGCGAGACTTGGTTTTATTTTGATTCCTTTTCCTCAGAGTATGGCTACAGCACTGTTGCAGTTTTACTTATTACTATTGGATCCATGTTTGGTACAATCCTCATTTTCTTCAGCTCCTGTCAAGAAATCTACACACTCATTTTACAGCTGTTTGTGGGTTTAGCTGTTGGGACCCTCTCTGGAGATGCACTGCTACATCTTATTCCACAGGTAACATGCCTGTTTATATTTTCAAAATGAAGTATTTCTATATATATAAAGAAATGCGTACCTAGTGAAGCTGCATTCCTTTGATTCTCCCATAACACGGATTGACAGGAGCTCAGGTGCTCTCATCTTTAAAAAAATAAAGCTGTCCATGAGATCTGAGAACCAGAGGGCCAACACTCTAGTTACAGTAGGGGCTGTGTAAAATCAGAAAGAGATTTCAGGTTGGGAAATAAAGAAGCAGAAGCCAAAGAATGATGAATGCTGAAGAAACACAGGTACTGTGTTAATACATAAATACTGTACTTAGTAATTAAAAGAAATGGGGGGGGAGGTTCCTCAGAAAATATATGATAAACAGGTAAGATAGGTCTAGCTCTAGGTTTGTGTGGGACTCTGTGTGAAGCCAATGGATAAGGTCTCAGGCATGCTTCAGTAACACACTCAGCTGGGCTAGGGAACAATCAGGAGCAGGATGGTAGATAGTTGGCTTGTGGTCACTTGTCAGTGGCAGGTGCCAGCGACTTTTCTCAGCTGGTGGAGTCAGGGAGGCTGTACTGCCATGCCTCCCTCCTCCCATCCCAGGGTTGTTCGAATGGAGTTCTGTAGCACAGAACTCATAGAAAACACAGGGCCTTATGCAAGCTGCACACTCCAGATATGCTTAAGGCAGGTCATGTAAGGAAAACTGATTCAGGAGAATGCTGTTCAAAGTTTTCCATGAGCATCAGCAGCCCCAGCCCCAAGTTGTTCTAAAGTTCCAGGGGCTTTCAGAGACATATGACCCTGCTGTTATGAACTGCAATAAAAACACCTCAGTGGTAGGATTTTCCTTTAAATTTACAACATATATTTTACATACATGACAATGTAAAAGAAAAGACAAGCCTTTGATTAGTTATTCATTTGGTTTTGCTGCTTTTTCTCTGCATTGTACAACTCGAAATAAGTAACTGAAGGGTTCTAACAAAAGGGGGTTTAACAATTTAATTTACTTGGTAAGTTGGACAAAACACACTTCTGATGCTTCTCCATCTTGAAATGTTCTGGTTTAAGAGATAGTAAAAGTTCTTTGAGGTAGTCCATATAACTAAAACTGGGAAAGACAATCAAAACCAGTAATATTTCTGGAACTAGAGCTGGGAGAAATTTTCAAAAGCACCAAAGGGATTTAGGAGCACCAGGTCTCATTGAAAGTCAGTAGAATTTGTGCTCCTAAATCCCATGTGTGCTTCTGAAATTCTCCCCCTCAACTTTTAAAGTGCTGTGTCCAGTGTATATATCTTTTAAAGTGCCAACTTTCAAATGAAATCAGAACAGTTCCAAGGAAGGTTATTATGTTCTTTCCCAGCATAGAAACTGGAGCAAAGACCATGAGCAGAAGGGTTAATTGATTATTTTCTGTATGAATTTGACTTTCAAAGATGATCTGAACAATTTTTTAAACTGTAAAAGTCTAAACAAAATATACAAAGGAAAATCCTCTTGTCAATACAATTAAATCTGCCTCTAGCAATAATATTACTTTTACTGGCAAGAGATGACAGAAGCATAATGGAGGCCATTAATCATGAATTTCATTACTCTATACTGGTTTTCCAGCACAGCAACTTAAAATACAATTAAAGTCTTGAGAGTGGTAATTAAAGGAAAGTTGAGGGATAAAGCTATTAGAGCTTTCTCTAGCAAAAGTCAAAACAATGTTTCCCCTTCTATTTCACCTCTTTATCTAGATTCTTGGTTTACATAAGCATGAAGCTCAGGAGACGGAACACATCTATGAGGGAAAAGAATATGTTTGGAAAATGTTGGGAATGATTGGAGGAATTCATGGATTTTTTCTGATAGAAAAATGTTTCTTTCTTTTGGTATCACCAAGTGATCAGGTAGAACTTTCTTTTTACCCCTTTTAAAATCCTTTTTGTTTTTGAGATTATAAACTGCACAGTAAATTTATAAAAGTTTTTGGAAAAATAACTGCCTTGTTTACAAGTGAAATAAAGCATAAACTGCCTCTTCCCAAATTGCTCCCATCAGACTGATTTTGCTTTGTACGTACCATTTTGTTTTGGTGCATAAGTTTGATGTGTTTAACTGTAAAAAGGCCAGTTATTTTAATTATTGTATTCTATAAGCAGACTTCCGTGGCTAGCATGAGAACATGCAAAAAGCATGTCTCTCTATGAAAGAGTAATGAGAATTTCTTTACCTAAGCACTGTTTGAAGAGCTCGAAGATTCACATGTTATCCAAGGCTTTTTTAAATGACACTTTAAAGAATTATACTTTAAAATTTACCAAATTGCTTGTAATTTTCTACCCCAAAGGATTTTGAAAATTAGTATAAATGTTGAGCTCCGTAGACTCGTGCATTATACTGGTACTGTCTCCTTGTTGGCTGCTATGCTCTCAGTAATTCTATTATTTTATCTCAGTGCGCTTTGTGTTTGAAAATGTCATTAGGTACCAGGATATAATGTAGCACAAAATGTGACCCTTCATTAAGTCTCTGAGTATGGGCATTTGCTGCTGCTGTTTTACAAAGGATGCTTAATCACAGGCCTAATGTAGATATCTGGGTCCCAATCCTGTATTCTTCATGTACCCAAAATACCTCCTACCTTTGAGGAATACAGGATTGAGCCATACAAATTATGTAAAATGAATGGAATGTGACTATTTTGCTAACTATGCCAGTATGTGGGTTTGCTTTTAAGATGTTAAGAGCAAAGCTGAAATCTATTATATAAAGAATAGTGAATAAAGAGAAAGGGACTTTATAATTTTTTTATGTCTTTAATAAACCCATTCAGTTGAGGGCCATCTGAACACTAAACATTAAGTAATTTGTTTATCTCAGCTTGTAACTCTAAACTTCAGCTTTAAAAAAATAATTTCCTATAATACCCTCTGGTTCTCACATATTTTTCTGGTTCAGTTTGCAGTTTTTGGAGCTGACAGGGCATTAGCAAATGTTTATCACAGCTAGCATTTTTTTTCAATTGTTTTTATTCTCAAGTCAACAACTTTCATAGGTCAAATAAAAGCTAAATCTGAACATGAAACTGACAGAAGCTGCACCTGTTTTCATCTGGCTTCAGAACTAATTGCAAAGCATCTTCATCCAGCAGGGCCTTTCATTAGTTAATGGGCACTTGGGGCATTCCCATGGTCTTCCAGTGGAATCTGAATTAAATGACCACTCAGGCAGAGGCAAATCTACTTCAACCATACAGTTGGTAGGTTACTGATATGAAATGCTTTACTGACTTGATTTCCTTCTTTCTCTGTGTCTCAAAAAATAAACCCAATTAACTTCATAACCGAATAGTATTTTATTGATTTTTAATTTTTATGTTTATTGATTTTTTCCTTACTCCATGACCTCAAAAAAGAATGTATTGTCAGAAATCTGTACATTTGTTAGACCACAATAAGCATTTTCAGACATAATTTATTCACAAATATTTACAAAGCCAATCTATCGATATATCTCAGGTTGATGTAATAAACTTCTTTATATGTCATTTGCCCAGTAGATTTTTAAAACATCTGCTGTCTTCCTGGTTTTCCAATGTAAATCACATCTCAAAGGAGCCAGATCCTTCAGGCCTTATGCCAGCAATACTCCCTTCAATCTTCAAGTTGGAGTAAGGACTGCAAGATAGTGTCCAAAGAGATTACATTACACGTATAATTAGTTACCAGCTGAAAACTTGGACTACATGCAGTAATTTTTCCATTAACATGAATAATATGTAAACAAAACCAGATGGGCTGAAAATAGTGTTTTCCTGTTAGAAATTGTGTAGGTTCCCATTTGATCTATGGAGAGTGCCCAAGCAAGATGTTTGTTTGATAGATACACACACACATACTCAACTGCTTAAATTGATAGGTTTTAACATTTTTGCAAGCACAGTTTGTGCTTCATATTATGTGTAGTTTCAGGATATGCTAATTGTAGTCTTGTTATTTTAGTCAGAGAATCTCAAAATTTCCCATATTATGGTCCACATCTTAATGAAGAGATGGTTATCAACAAGAGCCATATGAACCGCTATTGGTTCACAGAACACAGTTTGGGAACTGCTGACTGAATGCCTGTAGGCCGACCAGGGAAGATAATTTACTAAATTTTGACCAATATGGTCACTTCCTGTTTCTTCATTAAGTAATTAATCATTCCTTTCAGCTGGCAAACTGCAAGATCATCCTAAAGTTACACATTGATCATATGAACTAATGTGGCTTGGCTTGTTTGGATGAGAGCTCCCCATTTTTTCAGGATCATATGGGTAACAATGAGACAAAACACTGGCTGACAATGGGGAGATATTAAAAAGACTGGGACTTTTCAGCTTGAAAAAGAGATGACTTAGGGGGAGATATGATCAAGGTCTATAAATTATGAATGGTCTGGATAAGGGAGTGTAATTTACCCTTGGGGGTCAAATCTTCTGTCTAGACAAAGTCTAACAAAGCAAAGGAGACACCATGCCACAGTGAAGGAGACATACATCACTTCTCTCTAATCATTTTATCTCCCCTTTTATTGTTTTTTGGAAGGGGTCAGGATGCTATAGCAGTGACTGTGAATGCTGATGAAATAAAGCTTGCTGTGCTACAATTCTGATATAATTAATGAATTGGATACGAGAGAGTTTTCTATTTGCATCTCAAACAGCCCGATTGGTGCATTTTGAGGGATAGAAGGGGGAAATGGGAAGGAAAGAAGTATGTGAGGAAGGGCTGGAAGAGGGAATAGAGTACTAAAATCAGGGACCTTTGTTACCTGATCATGTGTGCACACTGTTGCTACCTACTGTCTCAATATCCAGGTGGCCAAGTATCTTAATATCTGCCTGGTTGCTACCTATTTGTTTTCATCTCCTCAAGTCTTGCAATTTCACAGAGAAACTACTAAGAATATCTTAGGCCTGGCCTACACCTAAAACTTTCTACATCACTTAGGAGTGTGAAAAATTCATATGCCTCATGTGATGCTGGAGCATGTATCTTATCTTAGTGTAGATAAGCCCTTAGTTATGGACTCCAATCTTCACCATTTTTCTTTCAAGATCCTGTAGCTGCATACACAGTCGTGCGATACAACAAAACCCATTATCCCATGAAAAACTGTACCAAAATGCTGAATTATAACTTAATCGTTTTCAACTCTGCATTTCCAGCTCAAAAGTTTGTTTCATCCCTGAAATGTGTTTTTCTCAAGGTACCACAGTGCTACTGACTTGTTTTTGTTTGGGTCTGAACTAGACTGTAAGCTCCTGGGGGCAAGGACAATCCCTCTTGTGTGTCGAGTTCAGTAAATAATTCTAATGATAATAATGGTATATATTGTAGATGGCACTAGCTAACTTTTCCTTTAATGAACAGTGAATCTATTTAAGTTTTTACTGTTTAATAACAGCAGATTGAAACAACCCCTCTATGCTGATCCAATATCGTTCCTTTTAATTAGAGAAGTCCCGAAGACTCGGAGTCTGAAGTTCCTCCAGACTGCAAGGCGACAAGCAGAAAGAGTAAGTATTGATAAAAGGATTAAACAAGCAGCATGAAAAACCTTAAGGCCTGAGATGGGATTGAAAGTGTGAAACTGGCTCAGCTCTGTGTTTTCTATGTATTACGTCACCACATCTGATTCTGCCTGGCTACATAATTAAATCTCTGCTTAAAGACCTGTTTCCCCAGCCAACCAGACCCATAATTGTAAAGTTCATTAATCTTATACTGTCCTTGCTTCAACGTTTGTTTACCCACCCTTGCAAACTACTTGACTGAAGCCTTTTACTTAAAGGGAAACCCTCATATACTTACCACCAAACATTTTTTTTATAATTGTAGATCTTGCTTGGGCCTTTCCTTATTGCAAAGATATTGAAATTGTCATCGCTTCTCATTTTCTGGCTCTCTCACCACACTATAATTTCCCTTCTGACTCTTTCTGTCTCCTTTATGGTAATGAATCATGGTTATTAAAATCAGTGGTGACTTGTTCCTTATATGGGACTCTGGGCTCATAATACTTCTCAATCTATCAGTAGCTTTAGACTGAACTGATATCCCATTAAATGATTTTGAAATAGTTTTTACTTCTCTATTCTGCTTTTCCTTATTTTAAAAAATAAGAAAAAATGATGTGGACCTAATTCTGCTCTTGATTGCACTCATGTAACCCTGTTGAATTCAACAGAGCAGCACGAGTGCTACTGGGAAATAGCATTTTACCTAAAATCTATATATTTATCTTATTCTACTCCCCTTTGTCGAGTGGCAATTAATTTCAGGACATGACCCTGAATTCTTGGTAGTCTCACTGTCTTCTGCCAGCCCTTCAGTGTTATTCTCTGATACTGTGGAATTCATTTCCATTTCAGGACATAGATCTCATTTTTGGAAAACTGGATTTCCATTGTTTGAATCTGACCTTCCCTTAAGCATACAATCTAGCCTCAGTTTCACTGTCTCTATCTACTCCATCTGTCATTGGTTCAGTGCTGTTCAGTCATCACTCTCTACTAATCATCTAAAACATATTCCACACAAGGTCAAGATTATCTGCTCCAAGTACAGCATGCCTGTATTTGGGAAAATTTCCCAATTATCTCTTTATCAGTATTCTCTGTTTGATTTCATGTTTTGGTCATAACTATCAATTCTCCTCTGCATTAGAAGTTTAGGAGTAATACTCGATTAAAAGTATGTTTTGAAAAATAATTAACTTTCAAAGGGTTTGTACTGATTTTTTTATCATGATCCCTTCTGTCAATATCAACAACCAATATTATCACTTTGTAGTTGTATTTCCTGATTCACATTAGACTAATCAGAAGTCCTATAGGCACTTAGTGTTAGCCCTGAAAACATTGAACTAGAGCCCTATGCATGAGCAAATGTAAGGGTTAAGCCATTACTTTGTTAGTCAGAACTTCAGAAGTGTGATCTATAGTAGAAATGCTACCAACTGGTAGCTCTATGAAAATTAAAGAGCAAAATTCCAATCCCTGGTTTCATGCAAATAATCAATTGAAATTTGCAAGTTAAATGCAAGGTTGTTCAAAGAAGAAGAATTTGGATCCAAATACTCATTTTCTAAGAGGTACTATAAGATGTTTTACAGTCACAGCAGTAAAGTGCATTGACATAATTGCTAATAACCTGATTTAGTTTTAAAATAGAACTAAAATAAATGAGGTTAAAAGCACTCCAATTTTTTCGTGTATGTATTTACTTAAATTTCAGTCAAGTGTGTTCACATAGGTTACATTTGCACAAGCTTTAAAATGCCTAGCACTTCATCAAGTTAACCTGACTCCCCTTTTATACTATAGATAATAGGCTGGAATGAGTTCCAGCCATTATAGTAGGTTTTTTTCAACATCTGTTACTTAAATAAAACAGGCTAATAACATCTTGTGCCAGCCACAATTTCACCCTAGCCAGTGCATATTACAAATCACAAACTTAATGTAGTGCAGCAATCTGTTATTTCGATGTCATTCTTGTCCTGCACTATGGAATATAAACTGCCTATAGTGTTTAGAAAGAGCTATGCAAGCTGGGGACAGCCACGTCTGGCTCTGTGAGCTGGCAGGAAAATCTACCAAGCCTGCCAATATTACTGAATCCACAGAGCTTCCAGGCAACTGGAGAGGATTTTCTCAATACAGTTGTAAGACTTTATTTTCTCTGTGTTTTCTTTTATAATAGTTTTGAAGGCTTCAGTTCTAGGCAGTTTACATAAGAAAAACATCTCTCCCATCTCCTTAAGAACAGTCTCCTCTACAAAAATGTAGAGAATTTGCCCAATATTGCTTAACTGTATTTCAGCGTGCAAGCTACAAGATCACTTGTTTTCAGTGCCTCATCACACACAAGCAACATGAGCTTCAGTGCTAAAGGGAGGTCATGGAAAAATAGTGGAAAGAAAAACAGCTATCTGTATTCATGACTGATGTTACAGACAGGAGTGCTATGAATGAACAAAACAGCTATTAATTGATTAGAGCAAAGGTTAGAATGGAGTATGATGTGATACTACATCAGTGATGATGATCTGAGGTTGATTATGTTTTGGATTCAACCTCCTCTGAAATACAATGCTTAAAGATGAGAACATGAAAACATAATTTTTCCCTTGTTGACAACACTAAAAGAATCATTTACATGAGGCCTGGCAAGGATAAGGCCATGCAGACGTACTTCTCAGTCTGTTGATGGCCTCAGTCTGTTGATGAGCACAGCTGAGCCACATCAGCTAGGCCACCTGATGGATTGCTCCCCCTGACTGACTGAGGAAGCTAGCAGATCTGTCTTGAGCTCAGTGGCAGTGGCAGTGGTAGCTCACAGGCTGCTCAATTCACATGCCTGCAGATTTTCTGCCTCCATGAGCTAACCTTGCTCCAAGATCTGCTTCTGCCCTGCCCGTAGCCTCGACCCTGCCCTGCACCTCGCCTTGTTTCAGTCCTGTTCCTGCCTTGCTCTCACCTTGGAACCAGCCTTGCTTATGTCTTCCCTGACTCCAGGTAATCTGGTTCTGACCCTTGGCTCTGATTTCTGGCTCTGACTCTGTCTTGACATTTGAAGTCTGACTATGGTTCTGATCCTGAATCCGACTCTATCTTGAACGTTGGTTCTAGCATTTTGGACTCCTACTCTTGCTCCAACCACTCTACCAGACTGCCTAAGAGCTGGTCTCTTGACAAGGCCAAATTCTTCTCTTACTTATAGATGTGCAACTCTCTGACCCCCCAGGGTATAAACACCTGCCTTTCAAGACAGAAACTATTTGAGTTGGGAGAGGGGAGGGGGAATCTGAGCTTAGCACAGAGTGAGGTTTAGGAGACACACAGAAGGTAAATTATTCAACTGGACTCAGACCAACTTTTTGTCTCAACAGTCTACCTAGTAGAAAAGGTACAAAGGAAGCTACTTCCCACTGTCTGCATCTCTGAACTATTCTATTAACTATCTTCTTATGCTGAAAATCTTGAACCCACTGTAATAAGAACAAATTGGGTAGGCTTTTATAGTCCTCTGCTTGTCTTGGCTTTTTGCAACACAAAAACTTTAGTCTATTGGGGAACAAATGTTTGTAGGAACCCGAAAGCCTAGGAAGACATGTTTTTCTTTTTATTCTTGACTTTGTTCCCTAGGCAAAGGAATTAGTTTGTTGGCAATAATGGTTTTGGTGGGTGACAGTCTTCACAATTTTGCCGATGGCCTGGTAATAGGAGCAGCATTTTCATCCTCAACAGAAACGGGTGTTACCACGACGATTGCTATCTTATGCCATGAAATTCCCCATGAAATGGGTAAGCAAATATAAATACACATTATTCCTAACTGGCTCAAGTAAAGGAGCCATGGCTCTGTGTTTCTGCATTTACAGATACATTTAAGGCTAGATCCTGCCCTGTTCTAACACGAGTGCAGTGGGTGGATGGGGTAAAGAGGGCATGTAGCTCCCTTTGTCCCATCCCCTGCATAAGCAGAAGAACAGGAGCTCTCCCTAGTGCTTGGTTACTGCTCCAAACCACATCCCTAAGCATGTATGGTCTGTCAGCCGGTGAGGATGGGGTTGGCACATCCAGTTTATATGCTAGGGTTTGTAGCACAATTTTTCCTGCATGTCATTTTTGATTGAAGCACTGCTGACATCACTCTGCTCCCTGCCCCTCACAGGATCGTTCCCTAATTGGGCAGGGGATGTTCTTTCCACTACATGTTAAATTTGTTTCACTGCAGCACAAAGGAAAGGAAAGAGTAAATAAGGACAGTACAAGCCCTGATCCTTAAAGTCCTTTCATAGTGCACAGCAGGGATCCCAACGATGCTGCGCTCTAGAGCAAGTGTGAAGCGATGCTGCGCTCTAGAGCAAGTGTGAAGCATGCATGGGCACATAGGCATAATCCTCCACACAGTGGAATTGTCCTCTGTTCCCTTATTCTCAAGCACGTGGGTAAAAAAAGTGGTGAGATGTGGATGCAGAATGGGCATGTCTGAGGAAATATGGGGTTAAATGAGACACTTAACAACTCCCTCCCCACATTGGTCTTACTCCTGCCATTAGGAGTAACCTAATGTGACCAGACAGCAGTGCTCTCAATATTGAGGATGGGTTCCTGGCATTGCTCTTCCTGCTTATTACCTTTGCCATTGCATATGTATGTGCAACACTCCACTTCTGTACTGTGGAGAATCAAACCCTTAGTGAACAAAATATCTGGTACCAGTGATGACAAATAATTGAACAGTTTTTCTAGCAGATAGAAAGAAGATCTGAAAAAGAGCTATGTGTAGTTCAAAAGCTTTTGTCTTTCACCAAGAGAAGTTGGTCCAATAATAGACATTACCTCACCCAGCTTCTCTAACTAGCAGACAGGTCAACAAGATAAAATAGAAGTTTCATTGGACCTAAACTTTCCCTTTTTCTTCATTGTTTCCTCATACTACATCTTTTCAGAAGTTTGAAGCTATGCATCGCATTGCATTCACACACCTATATATGGTGGTAGTTGGATCAGAACTTTGTATTTGTTTCTTTTCTTATGGACTTACAACTCAAATGTTGGATGTATGAATAACTTACCAAAACCTAAGTGTGTGTGGCTGGGGATTCCTGGAAAACATGCAGGTTTATAAAAACAAAAAAAAATGTGACAAAAATATTGAATAGCTGATACTGATATCAGACCAACTGGCATAGTGGAATTACACCAGTGTAAAACTGGTGTGAGATCAGAATCTGGTGCTCAGATACTTGTGCTATGTATTTGTCATGTAGTGGGTTCTTCTACAAGAGAAGCGTCCTGAGGGCTGATTCTGATCCAATTTAGACCAAGGAAGAAATTTAGGAGTAACTCCACTGAAAACTACGGAATGACACAAGTGTAAAACCTGAGCTGCCACTGTGTTTCTCTTTCTGACATACAGCACCTATAAGTAAAGACCTAAAGCCCATGTTACAGACATAATCACATGATTTCTACGGGCAAGTTCCCAACCAAGAAAGATTTAGAAACTCCGGGAAAGCATGTGACTTCACATTTGCATGTATCCAAGTTGGAAATGTCACAGAACATTGAGAACTAGTGGAGAGTCCTCCCTTTATATTGTATGCTATCTTTAGGAGCAACTGAACAAATATGACTGGATATGTAACTTTCTACTAGCTACACGAATTTACAATCATTTCTACAGAAATGTAAGGGCAATCCTCCAGCATCCAATACAGTGTGTGTGTGTGTGTGTGTGTGTGTGTGTAATTCTATCTAAACTATTATCATCAATGTCTTACTGCCTTCCACGTAATCTTGAAAATGCTTTATCAACTAAATAATATCTTTTTCCCCCCTCTATTTTCTCTATGCAGGTGATTTTGCTGTGCTGTTAAGTGCAGGGCTCTCCACAAAAATTGCATTATTAATGAATTTTATAAGTGCCCTAACTGCTTTCATAGGACTTTACATTGGCCTTTCAGTATCAACGGACTCCTGTGTTCAGAACTGGATTTTTACTGTCACAGCCGGAATGTTCTTGTATTTATCTTTAGCAGAAATGGTGAGCACTATAGTCTCTTCTATTACATTTTTCTTTTGAGAACAGTCATGTCATAAATGAATATAAGAAAGGACTGTAAGCTTTTTGGGCAAGGATGGTTTTCTACTCTGTGTTTGTACAGTGCCTTGCACAATAAGACCCCATTTACGGTTGATGCATAGCCAGTAATGTACTAAACATGATAAATAAGAAAAAGGGAAAAATAAAGGCTATAAAGCGTAAGAAATTAGATGAAATTGAGGGATCTACATTTCATAGTTCAGGAAAGAGTACAGAATAGTTCTAATTCTGATTCAAAATTTGAACCAAAGTGTTTTAAGTATTAAGATCCAGGGCTTTTGGTTTTGCTCTTTATTAAGATTCAGAACTTTAATTTGGAGCCAGACTTTTGAGATAGGGTTTTGATTTTGGCCCATCTCACATTTAAATATTCTTATCAAGTTTTGAAGCATAGAACAACAAATAAAGAAAACACATACAGTAAAATATCATGACTCTAGATCTATGTTCAAATGTTGATTTGGACCTACACATAAGAAGTTGATCAGAAAAGATCCATATGATACCGTTACATGAAAATAATAATAAAAAAGCTAAATTATATGCATCAGGTTCAGTCTCGTGTATTTTCACAGGCTATTGTGGGACATAAAATTAAGATACACTATCCTCAATACTGTGATTCGAGAGATCATGTAGGGTGTGTAAATAGCTTTTAATCTGATGCTAAACATTTGGTGCCTTTGTATCTGATCTAAACCTTATGGAGAAAAATATAAAAGGTAATTTTAAAAGCATAGTTCATGGATTATGCTTTTAATTTATGTACCCGCTAAAGGTCAAGTCAATAGGAATTTTGCCAATAATTTCAGTGGGAGAAGGATTGGTCCCTATATATAGTACAGAAACAAAATAATAAAAACTGCTTTATTCCCATAAAAAAGAAACACTAATTTTACCAAGTGTTTCCTTCCATGCAGTTTCTTTAAAAATATTGAGAAGTTAACACATTTTGGATCCTCATTTGGTAATTCTCTCTAATGTTGGTAAAAGGTTCACGACGATAGAATTAGATCAATTGAAGTATTTCACTTTGAATAGTTGTGATAACATACAGTATGTGCTACAGATTTGCAACTATATTCAGAAACTCAGAATTTAAGTCTTTTTTTATAAGAAGTTTGTCAAGTTTTCCCATAAGACTTTTTTTCCCAGAGATGAATATATCTGGCTCTCATTCTGGTATCTTATTCTTTATTTAGCTTCCTGAAATGACTCACATTCAGACACGACGACCCTGGTTGATGTTTCTCCTACAGAACCTTGGATTACTATTAGGTTGGCTTTGCCTCTTTCTTTTAGCTATATATGAACAGAAAATTAAAATATAATGTTTCTACTGGAAATCTCTAAATATCAGTCATGAATTTGTATAGCATTATTTCCATTTTTTCATGCCTGGTATAGTCATTTATAAGTTAAGTCAGTGGGATTTTTGTATCTAAAGTTACGTAGGTAACAATTTCACTTTATTAACTTATTGTTCAGATTTTGTAATTTTTTTAAAACATGAATGTTTAGATTGATGTTTTATTTGTTATTGAGTTTACCAAAACTCTTATGATCAAACTCACAGGAGCTTCTCATTAGTTTATTGAGTCCATTCTAGTTAAATGCTTCAAGTGATCTCTGCTACTCTGATTGAAGAAAAGAATACAAGTTTTTATATACAGTAATCCAACTGAAAAGGAGCATCGTTGAAGAGTTTGAAGCATAAAATCTTGTTACCTCTTAATGCCAAGAATAAATTTCTATGAAACTGAAAAGTATACTCAAGCTGATTTACTGAGTTAAATACACACAATCTCATTCTAATACAATGTGCATTATCTACCTTCTGATGTATTGAAAACAGTTTTGCATCATGTCTTGCTGGCCCTCTGTCGCACAGTTAACAATGGCAAACAAGTGTTAAAGCCTGTGACAATATTAGAACACAGTTGAGCAATGTCAGAATATCCACTCGTGTCTGCATTGTAAAGGATAGCTCGGTGGTTTGAGCATTGGCCTGCTAAACTCAGGGTTGTGAGTTCGATCCTTAAGGGGGCCATTTGGGATCTGGGGCAAAAATCGGGAATTGGTTCCTGCTTTAAGCAGGGGGTTGGACTAGATGACCTCCTGAGGTCCCTTCCAACCCTGATGTTCTATGATTCTATGTGTATGTTATGCATACTGGCATCTATGAAAGCCAATCAGATCATTAGATAATGTCATCAGTCAGAAAGTAGTTTATTCATACAAGTACAGTATGCTTTAAATGAAAATCTGTTCCTACTGTCTGAAGTGTACATTGATCCAGCAACCCTCTCTCACTTGAGTGGTTTTACGCAAGTAGCCCCTATTGACTTCAGTGGGATTATTCCCCTCAGTAGACCATTCAGTTAATCTGCAGAATCAGGCCCTAAACAAATTTTGACAATAACGGCCTGACTCTGAGGCGCTGTGTGACTTCAGTGAGGTATTTTATAATTAAACTCTGTAATTTATTTAGCATAAGGATTCCCTCCCCTATTTATTTTTTTTCTGTAAACTAAATCACAGACTTGCTCTTTGATACAAAATGCTTATTTCTCTTATTTGCTGAAAGAGGGAGAGCCAGTTACTGAACAAATTATATTCTGTGTACAACCAAATGCACAACTTTCTTCTTTTCTCTGTCTTAGGTACTCATACAGCCCCCATTAACATAGTACTGGAGTGTCTCCCAGTCTTTCATGTATTTATTCAAACATCTCTGAAGTAGGAAAGTACTTTTTATCCTCACTTTACAGATGGGGAACTGAGGTACAGGGGGGCTAAGGACAAGATTTGTAAAGGTATTTTAGGCTACTAGGGATGCAGACAGGCACCAGATGGGATTTTCGAAAGCACCCATGTGCTTAACTCCCATTGATTTCAATAACTGTTAAGTATCTATGCACTCTTGAAAATCCTGCTGAGAATTTATCTACATCTTTAGGTGCCTAAATATCTTTTAAAAACCTGGCCCTGAGTGACCTACCCAAGTTCACACAGGAAGTCTTTGTCAGTGCAGGGAACAGCACCCAGGTGTCCTGAGTCCCATGCTAGCTCCTGAACCACTTGTTCTCAAGGGACATAAGATTCTGATGCTGCCTATTCTGTTACATTAAGTTTGAGAGATTCCAGTTTCATTGAGAAGCTGTGAGTGATGGCTCTCTGTCCCAAGTTTACATTTTCTAGGAGTTTGTGTTTAATTTTCATAAGGTGAGATTTAAAAAAAAATGGATCTCTCAATATTTCATCTGCTAGTGATGGAGCTGAGTCACTTCATGACCTTCCACAGACAGTCAGTTCAAGCAGTTTCAGGACACCACTGGAGGTAAGAAAATATATTCTTGTTTCAGGAAGACCAAGTGAATATTGGAAACATTTGTTATTTCAAAGAGCAGAGCTACTGTATTTTGAGCAAGGCTACCGACTGAACAAGATTTTGCATCATCATTTGAAGTTGAATATTGAAATGTTTTTCTACCTGTTGTCAAAAAGCTTTTGGAAAGAACAAGGTTTATATTTTTGTAGTATATTTTCCAAAATAAAATAATAGTATTTGCTTAAGTACTTGTGTGTGCTAGCAAGATCTGTGATTATAAATGTACCTGCCCTTGCTTAGAAAATATACTCTTTTGACTTAAAAAAAAACCTCAAATACCCTGGTTTCACTGAACAACCAGACATATTTACACAACCTCTACCAAACACAAAATCTGATTTGTCAGAATACTGGATAGCCACCTGGTGTAGTCACTCAGATTCTATGACTGTGATATTTTCAGCAGATGAACAATCCAGTCACCAATTTTCACAACTGTTGACTGTATCACAAGCCTACAGAAGAGGATTTGGATACCTGTAGTACCCAAGAGAGCTGATCTACCTCAACATTTCATTAAGGCTGATCTTTCAGCAATAATCCTTTTGCACCAAAGGAGACTTCAGTGGATTTCAGGAAACACTGAAGATGAAGTATTACTATGATGTAGAATGCTAAACTATAGTTTAAAAAAAAAGATACTTTTTCCTTGATCATGATTAATATACTGGGTAGATTGATAGGAATTTGCCACATAGACTTCTACAATAAGTCACTCTCATCAAAAAAAGAACCATTCATATTACTCTACTCTTATCTTGTTTTTTGTCAAGGTGACCTCCAAGAACTGAAAAAGAAACAAGAGAATCCTGTTTCACCTCCATTGAAGGGAGAGTATAAAACTACTGTGGAACTGAACTCATTCTTTTCTTACATAAGGGATGGAGACTGTGTTTTGTCTGGCTCAAATTCTAAATAATTTTAGAAGTTCTAAATAAAATTCTGCAGACCTCACTCAAAGACAATGTTTATTGTCTTTAATGGGCTCAATACTGAAGTCCTTAGATAGTTCTTTCTGAAACAAAACTCCAATTGAATTCAAGGGGTCAGATTCTTCTCTATTACTCCCACTTTAAACTGACAGAGATTCTTCCCCCTTGACTTCTGTCAAAACATCTATCAAGGCAAATCCCAAGTAAATATTGCAGAATGTTATCACTTGTAGTCCTTAAATCAAGACTGCATAGTTTTCTAAAAGATGAACAATTGCACAAACAAAATTTATGGACTGGATGCAGAAATTACTGGATGAGGTTCTGTAGCCTGTGTTATGCAGGAGATCAGACTAGATGATCACAGTGATCACATCTGCCCTTAAAATTCAAGAATCTATAAATCTACTAACTTTGTTAGCAGAAAAGGGTTAATATTTCTTTTGTTCTTCCATACATTCTCAGTTTTCAGCCATTCTTAGGATTAAACACGAGAGGATCTCTCTCTCACACACACACACCCCCACCCCCAAACCCCCACAAAGAATATCTGTTTGGTAGAATTGTTTTTCCTGAAAGTTATATGACAGAAGAACTCATAAAAAGTAGTTCCAGTTCCAAGCTCTTGGGTCTTCTAAGTGTTGGAGTGTTGACCCTGTTCATCCGTTCTTGTTTATGTTATGCATTACTCACTGGCTTCTAAGATAAATACTACCTTCCTTACAGCAGCTTTCTTAATGCCTTTGGAATATTTCTGGAGTCTATCCTTAAGTGTTAAACACCACTGTCTATTCCATCACTGAACTTTGTGCCTTCAACATGAACTTGGCATCTCTCCAGTGATAGAATAATGTACCAACTTGGCCTATAATGTAAGAAACAGGGTTAATTTTGATATTGTAATATGCTCAAATAAATTGGTTAGTCTCTAAGGTGCCACAAGTACTCCTTTTCTTTTTGCGAATAAAGACTAACACGGCTGTTACTCTGAAACCTGTAATCCAGCAGTTATACATACAAATAGGCTGACATATCTCAGCTTTGCCTCTCATTCTTAGGAAGACTGTCATGACTTTAATAGGGCTGAGTGTTCTTGGGCCTAGGAACCAATGTGCAGCAGTTTTATATCAAAGGCAGAGTAGAGCTGAGAACTTTATAATAAAGATGGGATGTACTTTTTGTCCAGTGTCATTAGTTTTCATTGCTTTACTGTAACCCTCTCATCCCTTCCTCTCAACTTAAAAAGAACCTGCTTCCTATTTTGAATGTATTCTTGTGTTATCTATAGCCAGATGCCTAAGAAAAGATTACACAATGTCTTTAACCAAAACAAGAAAATGCAGTTTAGTTCAACAGGAAAATTAATTGCCCTAGATCCTCAAAGTATTTAGGGACTTAACTTCCATTGAAATCAGTGGTAGTTGGAAGCTGAAATGCCTTTCAAGATTTGGACCTTTGCACCTATCTCCTGCCTGGGGGCACAAAGGAGGACAAAGGTGTAAAAAGCCTCTTCCTCAGATAAGTACGGTAAGAGGTATAGCTAAGTACCTTACATAGATTTCATAAGATGTAGGGAAGTAGCCTAGATGACATACTGTGAGACTCTTCGAGCCTTAATAATGAACACCTCACCATACCAAATGCTGTGTACTCTCTCCAGGTGGATTCTAACACTTCAGTAAAGGCACACAGAAACCATAAATCAGATTTTGTTCTTCAAAAGATCTTGCAGGAAACTAGTTGGTGTGTTTATTTCAAGTATTTGGCAACTAGAGAGTGCCTGAGACTCCTGAGTAGATCTATCCGTAGAAGCAGATGCTTGTTGATGTTGTGTGAGAAAGTGCTTGAATCTTCACTCTGGCAAAAATATTACCAGAAAGTCAGGAACATTACTACCGTATATGCTTACTGCTCTGAAAGCAGAGGTGTGTTTTACCAAACACCAACAAGCACTCGTGTCAATATAACATTTAGCACCTGTCTAGAGGATGATTTAGTGCTCAGCAAGCCTGTGTGTGAATCTAAAATGCACAAGCCTGCACACTAAGTGGCCATGTGGACCCTGCTGCTGCATGTTCAAAGCTCCATAATACATTGTGATATGGTGGTGTTTCAAACACAGTTTAAAACTGCAGTAAATCAAAGCACACTACGGAACTTTTAGTGAACAGCAGCAGGGTCCACATAGTGTGTGCCAGGCTAGGGTGCTGTAGATTAACACCTTGACTTGCTGCACACTAAATCACTAAATAGAAATGCCCAGTCTACTCTTATTTTCCTGGTGGTGCCAGTTACATACCTTGGGCTGGATTTCCCAATACATTGCAACTTGTGTAGTCATTTACATAATTGCAAACTGAATGCACAGTGTAAAGTACTACAAAATCATTTTGTTCTAACTTTGCTCAAGTGGAAATGGTTTCACAAGGAGTAAGGTACTGGAGAA